TGGAGGATTTTATTTGGGGTTGAAATTGGTAGGATAATTCAATCTAGTTCAGTACTCATGTACTAGTTGGATGAGATTTTCTGTTGACCAAATGGCCACATTGTGAAGTGAACATATATAAAATTGTTTGACTCGCGGTTCCAGAACGAATTGTTAACGAGTTAGGTGATGTGAGATGTGAAGCTTGGGCTGCGTTCTCCCCACCCTCAACAGTGTTCACGGAAAACGGAGCGATCCATTAGCACATGATTAATTAAGTATCTGCTAATTTTTTTCAAAAATGGACTAATATGATTTTTTTAAGCAACTTTCGTATAGAAACTTTTTGCAGAAAAATGCACCGTTTAGTAGTTTGAAAAGCGTGCTAACGGAAAACGAGGAGAATCTAATCCTACTAGCCTGAAAAGAACGCAGCCTTGAGAGGAGAAAAGAATCCAAATTGATGCTGACGGAAGATGAACAAATGCAAGTAGGCAATCATCATCAGACACTAAAACTGAAAGATTTACCTGCTCCAAACATTTTTTTTCCTGACATGTAACTCTGATGGAGAAAGTGAACACACACGCCTCTCCAAATTCTCTCAAGCGTAGCAGAGCAAAAAGGCCCACGAAAGCCAGAGAAAATTGGTATCACGGACTGAAACTCCGAACCCCTGGATCAGCATGAGCAAGCCACGTTATCTTCTGCGATGCGCCATTCGACGGCGAACTTGGCACCGGCGGTGCTTACCGGCGACAGCAAGCACGGCAAAGTAACCCAACAGGATGTAGTTAAGGATTTCAAGAACTAATTAAGTGCGTGCCAATTGAAACTTCAAATGCTAAACCACTGTCAATATTTAAACCTTTTTGAAACAATAACTTAACTAGGAACATGCAGACAACTAGTTTAGCCATAAGTCAATCTAGTACCAGACTACCCTGCAGTGTCATGTTGAGTGTGTCACTGTGACGCCCCAGCAAAAAAAAAAAAGAATGAAAGCAAAAAAGAAAGGGCAAAGCAGCAGCAGCAGCCGGCCCATAAAGCCCAGCAGCAAAACGGGCAGCCCAACACTGTGATGTACTGTAGCAACCGAGTACTGTAGCATCGAGAAACACTGTACCACAGAGAATAATACCCCTACCTTAGCCAGCTCCATTCATACTAGGTGTGTGTTTAGTTCACGTTAAAATTAGAAGTTTGGTTGAAATTGAAACGATGTGATGGAAAAGTTGGAAGTTTGTATATGTAGGAAAGTTTTGAAGTAATGGAAAAGTTGAAAATTTGAAGAAAAAGTTTGAAACTAAACAATGGCTAGCTTATAAGAATGAGCTGTCCGGTCACTATTAACTCCGATTCAAACTTTTTGCGTGAAGTGAGAACGAAAACGCAAGACAGTTAATAGTGTAGGTTTGGCCCAACTGGATGAGTTGGGCCCAATACCATTTTCAGACCTGGGCGCCAGAGTGACCTTGAATTTGCTACTCTCAGTTATGAACAGAAGTATTTCTCCACAGCTCATTATAAAATTATGCATGGCATACAGCTTGCATGATTTCCTTTGTGCCTGACCGGTAACTGAGAATACTTATCTGCACTGATCTTTTTTTTCTTTTTTTTTTTGACATCTGCACTGATCATGATTTATACTACCATCAGACATGCAGCACGATAGATTCATACTTAGCACACATTATTTGCCTGAGTGTTGGTTGTAGCTCTCTTGCTGCTTGAAACGTTATATATATTTTAGTAGATCCTTTACACATAGCTGCAGTGTCTGCTGCGTCTATTTGGTTGGTTGCCAGGCTACATTAATGCAACTTAGCCATAGCCTGTTAGCAAGCTGAGATTTTGGAGGAAATCAAAACACGACGGGTATATAACGCCATAGATTATTCTATTTTATTTTACTAGTGTTAGGAATAAACATACATCCTATATATGAGTTGTTAGAATACGGCAATACCATATACCTAATAGTCTACGTTAGGATATTTTTTTATTAAGGAAATACAATGGATAAAGATAGCTTACATTGGGATATTTTTTATTAAGAAAATACAATAGATAAAGAAAGAAATTAGCTTCCTGAAACAAAAGATGGTGGAGTCTAGTCGTATGATATATATATATATATATATAAATATAAAGATAGCATTGGATTCGACCAATAATAGTAAGACTATTACTTGTCACTAAAATGGTGGTATTATTTATTTATGTATGGGTTCTTATTCCAGTATATGAATTGAATTCTACTCCCATAGCCATTTCTCTACCCTATATCATCATAACTCCTTTACACGCATTTTGAGATTGGCAAAATATTTCACACTTAAAGCAAGTTTATTTGTTCCGTGTGTTCATGTTAAATTCTAATTTTTTTTATAGGAATGTTAAATTCTAATTCAAGTCGATTGGAACTACAGCTACTGAACCACTGTTATTGTTAATACTTACTCCTTTGAAATACACAATGCCATGTGTTAATACTTACTCCTTTGAAATACACAATGCCATGTTTGTGCTATGTTAGTCTTGCTAACTTTGGGCAATCCACAAACACATTTCGCTGTGGTTGATCAGGAAATAATACTGGAAGTCAATCGTTTCCGTGCCACTCTGATTCCATCTCACCTAAGAAGTAGAACTATGAGTAATTAAGCATGTTCATTACTAAAATAATGGGACCAAAAACAAGAACATATATATAAACATCAAACTATTGGCATTTCTCCTTATGATCCGTACGCCGGCAGTGAGCCGGGACAAGCCGCCTCCGCCACCGGAGGAGGTTACAGAAGGCCCATTAGCACAAGCTGAGGCAATTCTTCTCCGGCGAGCCGTCCGAGCAGCGGCGGCAGCTGGTGACTTCCGATTCAACGCTCGAGGGCCTGAAGATCTTCAGATGCATGGTCGCTTTGAAATATTTTTTTTTTTTGCGAACGCCGCTTTGAAATAAAATCGACAGCTGAATTTTCAGATGCATGGTTGCTTTTGAGTAAAATTGACAGCTGAATCGGCACACCTTTTTTTTATCTTAAAAAAAACATCAAAGAACAAACCACCTTTTGGATCATTCAGCTCTTTTCCCTTCTCAAGTTACACAAGCTCAATTTCTTTCGAAAATACCGAAACAAGTCATAAACTAGCTCTAAATTATTGGTAGTAGCAGCTTTACACATAGACAGTTTTAAGAGTATGCTCCCCGAGTTAAAAGTAGGGGGGCAATGCTGCTGAAATGAAATGGAAGGCCCGGACAGTTAATAGGATATTTCATCTCATTCTACGTATTTGCTTATATCCAGCAGCTTAACAGCATGTATATCATGTGAGCTTCTTCATGCTTCCATACTGTTAGTCAAATTAATTAGTATTAGTTTTTCATGCTTACATCCAGCATGATAGATTCCTCTCACCGCAAAACTACACAAAACCATAAATTTAGGTCCAATAGCGGTATGGATCTCTGATTTCGTTAATATGACATCCTAATTAGTCAGCCAAAAAAAGTATATGGGACTCACATATCAGCCGTCCTCTTCTTTCTTCTCTTTTCTTCCTAAGTCTGGACGGGGTTGGCCGGAGAGGGTGGGAGAGGCGGCCGGCATGGCGATGGTAGCGGGCTCCAGCGGGCGGTGAGCCAAATTAAAGAAGCCGCCTCCATCGCGACACAGACGCCGGCGAGCTGCCATCGATCACTGGCACCGTCCTACCGGCACACAGTGGCGTTGGCCACCGGAGGAGGTTACGGACGACGCCTTGGGGATTATGGAAGTGGTCGCGGCTGCCGGTGGCATTCATGCAGCGCATGCAGCGCAGCACAACCCAATAGATAGCAGAGATAATTGGTATCACAACGAAAATCTATCTGAAGTGAAACTCAAGAAGCAACCAGGATAAGCCACGTCATGTATCAAATAATGGCAATGGGATTCACAAAAGGAAAAAAAAAATACCAAAGCAAAAATCCTAGCCATCAAGATGAGGAACGGGTAAAATATAGAGAGAGAAGAAAAAGGCTATGAGCCCGTTCAGATTTGGTGCTATCTTGAACTATACCATTTTATTTTGTAAAATCAATAAACATGTGGATGCATTTAGTTTGTTACTAAATATTGGTTGTCTAAAGAATTCTGGCAACACCATATTTAATCTATCCGATCAAATTTGGCAATGTTGCTAACTTGGCAAATTTTAGAAAAGTTTATTTTTAACAGCAATCTGAACATGCACTAACAACACACTTTGATGGAGTGGTTGCCTCATTGATCTGTCAATAGGTCTAATGGGCTGGCTTGGTCGAACAGGCCAAACAGTCTTTTGGACCATATGACCAATCAAATAAATTTCTTGAGACGTTCATAGTGCGTATACACTCATCTCTATGAACGTTCACACGCATATCCCCTATCCATATGAGTCTCTTCGGAAGATTGGACCAACAAATCTTGAGATTGACGAAGTCACCAACGTCTCGCTGTCGACGGGTACGTCGTCTACCATTAAAAGAATAATTAGCCATAAATGCGAACAAATTTAGGATTTGAATGTAGGTGGACTAGTTCCTCCACAAGGAACCTAACCAGATGAGCTACGCTTACTTCGCACTAATCGGATATATTTAATTGAGGGGAACAAGTTATTTTACATATAAACTTTAAATAGTTAGCAACAATCAAAATAATATATAGAAAAAATAACTTCTCAAACACAGCTTATAAGGATGGTCCTAGTCTAGAGATGGCAACGGGCCCCGCGACCGAAACCCGTTGGGTTTTTACTCTATTAGGGTGTATAAACGTTCCAAACATCATACCCATGGGTACGTTAACGGGCAAAACCTTCACCCATCGGGTACACGGGTGTGGGTACGTTCTGCTGTCACCCGAACCCATTAACCCGTGGGTTGAAAATACCCGTAGGCCTAGCCCAATATGCAGATGGCGCAAGGCCCACAACCATCAAAACCCTAGGTATAAATCCTCTTTTCCTCACTCCTCTAAACCCTATTCCTCTTCTCCTCCTCTCCTCTCCCTCCTGTCTCCGTTTCTCCGCCGCCCCCCATCCCCCAAGCGGCCAAGCCACGGTCGCACCGCACGGCACATGCCACACGCCGGCACACCACCGCGTAGGCGCGCACAGCCGCAGCACCAGCCGCCAGCCGGTCTCGGTCGCGCCGATGGAGTAGGGGCGCCGCCGTGCGGGCAGCCGCCAGCGTGGAGGCGGACATCCACCGCGTCGGTCGCCGCCTGGGGCAGGGTCCAGGGAGCCAGGGACGCCGCCTCCTGGGGGCGGGATAGCCACCGCGTCGGTCGCCGCTTAGGGGCAGGGACGCCGCGCGCCGGTCAGCTGTCGGCAGGAGCGCCGCCGCAGGTGCAGTGAGGTAGGTCGCTGGATCCGGCTGGGGCCATGACCATGAGTAGAGATGGCTTGTTGTTGATTTTGCAATGTGACAGGCTGTATGTATCCTGTATGGTTTGTTTGAGCCTTAGTTTTTCAATCTTGCTGTGTACATATCACTGCAGCCTATAACCTTATTGAGTTATTATTGTGCACAATTGAAATTGTTGCAACGGATGTGGGTACCCATCACCCATGCGGGTGCGGGTATGGGGGAATTTCTCACCCGTGGGCGGGTGTGGGTTTTTTAGTGGGCATATTTAGTTTTAATGGGTGTGGGTACGTGCAGTGGAAACCCGTCGGGTCCATATCCATTGCCATCTCTATCCTAGTCGCACAAAGGTCAGGGATGGAAATTTCAGGAATTTCGCCCCTCTAGCAAGCAATTATTTTGAGCATTTTTCTGGACTTTTTTTCAAATATTTGTGAATTTGATCATGATTTCTTTAAAAAGTTTTGCATTCCGAAATGGAAAAACGTGCGATTTAATTCACTAGTTATGATGAAAATTGCAGGAGAGGGGGTCTCGGTGACTAAAACTCGACACCCATGGAGGCACGTTATCTTCTGCCGGCAGTGCTTATCGGTAACAGCAAGGACGGCGAAGTAAGTCAACGGGACAACAGATTAAGGCCCCCGTTAATTCAAAGGAAATTCATAGGATTTCAAGAACTAAGGGTGCCAACTGAAACTTCAAATACTAAATCACTGTCAATACTTAGACCTTTTCGAAATACCTAAACTAATTAATTATGAACCTTCGAACCTGCAAACATGGTCATCCAGTACTGGAGTACCCAGTGTCATTTTGAGTGTGCCACCTTGGATTTGCTGCTCGCAGTTATCAACAAAAGTATTTATCTTAAGCTCATTATGAAATTATGTCTTTGTTATTGGCCTACTGCTTGCATGATTTCCTTCATGACTTCCTTACCACTAGTTGTAATTGAGATATTTATCACACCTTATTTGACTGAAGTGTTGATTGTACCTCTCTCTCTCTCCCTACTTGACACACTGTGTATATATACCAGTACATCCTTTACTCATATTTGCAGTGAATATGTGATTTGAGATTTTGGAGGAAACCAAAACAAGAAGATGGTGTGAAGTACCATAGTTTATTATGTTTCATTTTACCTTAATTCATTTAAAAAATAACATTTTTATTTTGGTACCACGTCTCGTGTTGGAGGTTGTACTAAGTATGCCTGGTGTGGTTGTACTAAGTGGTTGCATTGGTTGTATTCTTATCAAAAGTATATTGTATGAGAATTTTATTGTGCTCCCCCTTAATACTATATTGTGTTATCCATTTATTCAATACTATTTATGTTTGTTAATATATCGAATGAAATGTTTGTTAGTATCTCAAATGAAAGTTTGAGGTGTATAAAAAATATCGTCACGGAATTTGCTTATAATATGACATTGTTACTTATCAATAAAATTATGTACATCTCACTAAAATGATGGTATGTATTTATGCATGGGTTCTTGTTCCATGTATATGAATTGAATTGTACTCAAATAACGAATTCAGATATGGTGCTGTAGTAGTAACGACTGCAACTTTAGCAGTCGGACCACATTATAGCCATCGGATCGATGGAGCCAACGCCGGATTCGCTGTCATCCTGTTTCACCATCTATGCTACAGTAATCGATATAGTACAAATTTGCTACAGTATTTTCTGAACAGCATTTTCCTGCCACCTGAGCCGTTGATTTTTTATCCATCGGCTGCACTGCAACTGCTAAAGTTGCAGATCTTGATCCTCAAATAACTTATTAACTTATTGGTAATAACTAGTTCTCTACTCTATATCATGATAGCACTCTCCATGCATTTTGAGCTTATTGGTAATAAGTAGTTCTCTACTCTGTATCATGATAGCACCCTCCATGCATTTTGAGCTAATATTTTCACACTTCACTTTTATATGCAAATATGAGTTATTAAACATGTTCACTACGCAATAAAATAATGGGACGAAGAAGAATAACATAAACATGAAACTATTGTCATGTGCATAATCTAAAGTATCTTGGCAGGGGAGCTACGTAATTCCACTCATCGCCCTCCACCGCTTCCCCCCTGTAGTTCTCTAAGGAAAAAAATACATAGATCCAAGGTGTCAGAAAATTTAATAGTGTTGAACCCCTTTACGTTTTTCTTTTTTATTTTGTGCATATTTCGAATATCGATGATTGAAGAAACTAACTAAGGCCTTGTTCGTTTAATCCCCGGATTGAAGGGGATTTATTCCACACCTATTATGGTGTGGAATTATTCCCCCTCAATCCCCTTCAATTCTCTTCATTCCACTCCAAACTGAACAAGGTCTAAAGGGGTTGGAGAATTATACTTTTTTTTTACGTAAGTTGGAGAATTAGACTCCGAACCCCCTAGAGATCCGTAATTCAGCATCACAAACCACGTGATCTTCCCCTATAGATGGAGCTCCTCTGCAACGGGATGGCCGCATTGAGTGAGTGAGGAGAAGTGCAGATCAAGGCGAGCCAGGGATTACTCCTTGACACCTTTCATGTTCTCGTTACGTTTGCAATTCTCTCTGTATTGATCCCTATAAAATCACAACATCTACGACGGTATCTTTTGATATATAGGCTCATTTTTTAACACCAATGTCTGTCAAATAAAGGAGACAATGACGTGAGGGTTCAGAGTTTACATCGATTGGCCCTTCTCCACGCTAAAATCGTCCCGCCGCTGTGTTGTACATGTAGAGAAACGCCCAGAGATTTTCCGACTAGCTCCATAAGGTGGTAGGTTTGCCGGTCTGGGTTCGAAGCCTCCGTGCCTCACCCCTTCTATTTTCTGTGCTGTACCTGTACGCTAAAATAATAGTACACGCTAAAACGCGACCTGCTGGCTGCTGCCACTAAAACGCCACCTTTCTTCACTTCTCCACGATACCACCATTGTCTCGCGCCTCGGAATAGTACGTATTCTTTTCGATCGTTACCTGGAACTGAAAGAGAGAGAAATATCGATCCAAGGGGTTTGGATCGAGATTATGAAATTGTTTTTCTCGCGGTTTCAGTATGAATTCCTAAACAAGTTCAGTGATGTGATGCGTTTGAAGCCAAGGTGTGTTGATAGAAGAACGAATGCAAGTTTTACCTGAAACTCTGAACTTGTGGAAGTGCACGGCCGGCGTCATGAGACAACTACTGCTCATCGGCAAAGCCCAAAAAACCGTCGAGACCTTGATGCTTCTTCTCCCAGCACAGGGCTGGGATTTCAGCCCATCCAAACAAATGAAACAAGGCTTGGTCTAAAAATTGTCCTTTGTTGCTATAGGCATTTGAACAAACTGTGCCGGTTGAAACATCAAATGCTAAACCACTGCCAATACTTAGACCTTTGGATGGAGATTCACAAATAAAATTTAATAATTTTTATGATCTTGTTATGCTGTGGGAGTTTTTATTAGTTTATGTGTGATTTTGTTTATTTAAGTGTGAGTTTTTGTTAAATTGGTGTAATAATTGTTTGTAGCTCTTTGGTGAAAGGTTGGGGATTATATTCCATTATCTTTTTAAAAAAAAAACTTAGACCTTTAAGAAATACTGGCCCCAATTCAGAACCTGCAAACAACTCATTTGGCAATCAGCCATCCAGCAACCAACATCATTTTGAGTGTGATACCTTAGTTTTGCAACTTTCAGTTATCAACAGAAGTATCTCTCTGCAGCTCATTGTGAAATTATGAAGTTGTTACTGGCATACTGCTTGCATGAGTATTTCCTTATATCCATGAGCTTAAGCAATAGGAATATCATGTGAGTTTTCTTCGTGGATGCATTTCTCTTACTGTTAGTGGAGCTAGTTGGTACTTGGCACTAGTACTGCTCATGTTTTATTCCACCAGCATGATAAGGTTCATACTTTAAGACATGTTATATTCACAGTTTTTGCTCTCCTTTCCCGTTCGGCAACACTATATATATTTCATCAGATCATTCCATATATTTGCTTGTGTTCTTTGTGTTTGATTTGTTAAATTACGTTTTCCAAAGCTACTATGACACTGAAATCTTATCTTGGGTAAGATTTTGGAGTAAACTGAAACAAACCTTTAAAAAATCACTATTAATTAACATAATTAGACCAATTTCTCGCCACCATGTCTATATTTTTATGCGTAATGTATTATATATCTCCGTTATTCTTTTTTCTGTTGAGTTAACATTGTGGAGGAACACTACTTAGGAAATACATGATTTGCTTATCTTTATATTAAGACGAGTAAATTGCATATTGGGACATATATCTTTACCATTGTTCCACATTGAACCACTCAACATTTTCACTTAACACCAGATCTTTTTACCAAAGTTGCCCACTTATTAGTGCCTACATCTCTCTACATCTCTCCACCTGCATTACTATGAGATTAGAGTCCTTCGATTAGAGTCCTTCGCAGGAGAAAAGAAAAAAGAAAGGGGGCATGTATAGGCCGATTCATCAATCAATGGATCGATTAAGATTCAAACAGACTATACGAGCTGCTTCAAAAAACATGGATCTCACTCTACAAAGAGAAAGGGTTCAGGAATTAGATAGGTGCAATACATTTGAATTGCATCGACCCCTGATGGCCATGGATGCCACGGCCTTTGCCTAGACGATTAGCTCCCGCTTCATCCTACTCTCTGATGGCCACTGACACCACGGCCACCATGGGCGATGAGTTGCCGTCGGTCCGTCACAACTGCTGCCGTTCCTGCACAACGGCCTCTCCTCGCCGTCGCCGACATCGATAGCAGAGACGGTCACCGCCGCCGTCGCCGCCGGCAGCATGGCCCTAGCTAGCATCCAACTCCATACTCAACCACAAACGCAAACTATGGAGATGGCGAGTCTGCTCGATCAGTAGCTCCAATTTAGACTCGATCAGTAGCTCCAATTTTCCCTTTTCATCCTCAATCGTCATTGACAGGTGGGCCACTAGTCCTAATTGTAACTTTGGGTAAAAAGATCTGGTGTTAAATAAAAAAGTTGAACCATAGATGGTTCAATGTGAAACTATGGTCAAAATACATGGCCTAATCTGCAATTTACTCTATTAAGACATAAGATGTTTGAGTATATCCCAAGCGTGTGCAGAACTATCAATAAAAAAGGAGGGGGGGGAGAGACAAAAACATAAACTGAAGTACATCAGCTCTCTCCTCCATTTGGTAGAAAGCAATCTCAACCGTTAATATATAATTAAAAGGTTATCTCTTTTACTATCATCTCATCTAACGAGAATAGAAGGATAAATTAGTAAGGGCATTATTTCAGCAAAAGTTTACAGTGAAAATAAGTGAATATCGAGAAAACAAATAAATATTTAATGTCATGGGTGTGATTAAAAAATAAAAACTGTATCGATTGGAATGCATAAAAACAGGAAAAGAAACCGCAGTGGGAACAGGAAAATATGATCACGTACGGACATACCATGTATAGAACTGCTTAGAAAAAAAAAAGAAAGAACAAAAATATTGGATCGTGCACGAACTTATATTTATAAAAAGGGGAATTTATCACTACCCAAAAAACAACATGTTTTTTCCGACCCAGTCCGAACGGACCAAACATAACATATTATGTTCTAAAATAATAATAGTTCTGATTTAATTTATGTGTGTATGACAAAAAAAACCCATGTGTTTTCGTTGTCGACCTGGTGTGGACTGTTCAGATGAATTTAGGACGTAACATATTTTTTCCTAAAATAATAGTCCTTTAATTTATGTGTGCACCACCAAAAACCATGTGTTTTCCCGATAAGATTCAGACATAACATATTTTATCATAACATAGTTGTTTTGCTTTAATTTATCTGTGCACAACCGAAAACCACGTGTTTTCGTTGTTGGCCTGGTCTGGACCATCCTGATGAATCCAGACATAACCTATTTTGTCCTAAAATAGTAGTTTTGCTTTAATTTAAGTGTGCACGATTGAAAAACCATGCAATTTTTGTCCACCTAGTCCGGGCATACCGGATGAAATCCGGACGTAACATATTTTGTCATAAAATAATAGTTCTAGTTTAATTTATGTGTGTACGACCGAAGAACCACATGCTTTTTCGTTGTTAACTCGGAACAGATCGGATGAAATCCAGCCGTAATTTATGTGTGTACGACCGAAAAACCATTTGTTTTTTTGTTGACCCAGTCCAAACCATTCGGATGAAACCGCGAAGTAACATATTTTATCCTAAAATAATAGTTCTTTAATTTACGTGTGCACCACTGAAAACTCCGTGTTTTTGGTTGTTAACCTGGTCTAGACCATCCCGATGAGATCCAGACGTAACATATTTTATTCAAAAATAGTAGTTCTGCTTTAATTTATGTGTGCATGATAAAAAAAACCACGTGTTTTTTTAAACCCGGTTTGAACAGACTGGATAAAATCCAAACGTAACATATCTATTATATTATTAAAGGAATAGAAAAAGGAGCCTCCACATTCGCTCTCATGGCCTAGAAATTCTCACATTAATCGAAGAAAAAGAAAAAATAGAGTCCATATAGAAATACAATTTAGAAATAGCTGAAATTCGAAATTAAAAAATAAGGAATATTAGAAGAGGAGACTAGAGTCCATATAGAAATACAATTTAGAAATAGCTGAAATTCGAAATTAAAAAATAAGGAATATTAGAAGAGGAGACTAGAGTCCATATAGAAATACAATTAGGAAATAATTGAAATTCGGAATAAAAATAAGAAATATTAAAAGTAGAGTATAGAGTCCATATAGAAATACAATTAGGAAATAACTGAAATTCGGAATTAAAAATAAAGAATATTAGAAGTAGAGTATAGAGTCCATATAGAAATACGTTAAGAAAAAAAATAGAAATTCGGAATTAAAAAATAAGGAATATTAGAGGTAGAGTATAGAGTCTATATAGGAATTTAAAACTAACTAAAATTTAAAATAAACATAATAAAATTAAAAGTAGAGTTTAGAGTCTGTATAAAAATACAATGTACAAATAACTAAAATTCGAAATTAAGAAAAACATGGGAAGAAGAGTTTAAAGTCAATATAGGAATATAATTTAGAAGTAACTGAAATTCGAAATTAAAAATTAAAGAATATTGAAAGATGAGTTTAGAGTCCACATAGAAATACAATTAGAAATAACAAAAATTCAGAAATAAAAATAAATAATATTGGAAGAAGAGCATAGAGTATATATAGAAATACAATTTACAGAAAATTCAGAATTAAAAAAAGAAATATTAAAAGACGAATCTAGACTCCATATATGAATATATTTTAATTTACAAATAACTAAAATTTGATATTAAAAATAATTAATTACTAACACGTATATAAAATACAATATGAATATTACACATTAGTAGTTTTGTAAAGTTATTGCAAAATTTAAAATTATGTTGTCATTTTAATATATTTGAATAAAATAATGAGAAAACATATATGCTATTATATGAGAGAAAATATAATGATACTAGCCGCGCAATCTGTATGGGCCACCGTGCTGGCCCGTGCTAGTTTTAATTTATAGTTCTGCTTTAAAGGCTAGAGAAACGGTTAGCCGGATATATGTCGCCGCCGGCGAGATCTACACGTATCGCTAGCGGGATGCAGAGAAACGGATTACCGGGGATGTGTCGCCGCCGGCGGGATCCACACGCGCCTCCTGCCGGAGGACTAGCCACTCGCCACCCAAAAGCGCCGTCGGGCGAACGAGTTGCGATCCAATTTTCTGATGAAATATTGACGATGCGCTGCCATGCCAGCCACAGCTAGTGTCACGATCAAAACGGCCCACCGGTGCCACGATGCAAATGGGCCTGACGCTAGGGACCCATTTACCCTAAAAAGAAATATGTAAATGGCTAAGTTACTCTGTTAACAAATTACTAATTTATCCTTAATAATAAATGGTTCAAATTTTCTACTAGTAATATAATACTACCAGTAGAGAGTACTGGAGCATTGCTCTAAACTGAAATCCTATATCTCGCAACAGGATTGTGCAAGCATGTTACATTATCGTAGGCGTCCATTTGGCTCTAAGGACCATACCCGCCTAGGAAAAAAATCAGGTTTCTCAAAAGAATAAGATATCTCTTAATAGTGAAAATATTGTATCTATTATGTGTTTATTGTGTTTCTCGAAAAACATCTCTTATAGCGAGCAGTAAGAGATATGTTTCTGAGGTCTATATTTGGGCATCCACGAGTACACTTGGTCGCTAGCTCTGGCAAAACTGGATCCTCCGTTCTGTGTTCCTTCACATCAAATTCACAAGCTAAGTTTCTTTCATAAATGCTAAAACAAATCATAAAGTAGCTCTAATTCATCCGTCTTATGCTCCTCTAGTCAAGAAGCAGAGGCATTGCCTCAATGGAAGACCCGGCCATATTAATTGGGATATTTCATCTCTCGTTCCCACACCGATTTCGCTAAAGCGAGAAAGACATCCAATGAAGGAAAAGTGATGCAAGGAGGGTCGGAGATTAAAACTCCGACCCCCATGAATCAGTATGAGCTAGCCACGTGATCTTCCGCCGTGTCAAAAACACTCAAAACATGTCATAAACTAACTCTAATTCATCCGCCGTGTGCTCCTCCAGTCAAGAGGCAGAGGCATCGCCTCAAAGGAAGGCCCGGCCATATTATTGGGATATTTCATCTCTCGTTTTGAGACCAACTTGGCTATCTGTTTTGGGAGGATAGAGCTCCCATAATGCAACCGTAGTATCCGCCGAGCAGGAAGCCAACAGCTTGGAGTCCGATGAGAATGTCACTGCATTACACTGCAAGCCAAAAGGACGAACACAAAGTTATGTTCCGTGAAGCTTTGGCTGAACGATCAATATAAGGTGATATCAGGGACCGACAGGCATTCCTTCCCTTTTGAGCTGAGGAAAAACAGCATGGTAAATTTTGAAAGAAAATGTTATTATATGAGAGAAGCTGCATACCGAAGCACTGTGATACTTTAACACTGCTAGAGCGTTTCCTTTACTGTAGCTATACACACGAATCCTGCAATGATGTAACAATTGCAAACTTGGATCATAATCATCAACTAGAAGACAAGATTAGTAGCGACCAAAATCACAAAGGAGCCATCATTAGTACAATTTGTACTCGTCACTCAGGTATTACTACTTAATAGATTATATATATTAAATCATATGTATAATGTACCTACTAACTTGAGCATGTTAATTCAGGATTTAGGAAGCCACTAAAAATAGCTTATGTTAACATCCTGGTCATCAAGGAACAGAATGGGAAAAACAAACCTGTGATCCCAACCAGCGGTCGCTGCAATCTTGTTGTCTGGCCGAATTGCAGTGCCTGCTATACCCGGTCGCTCAAGTTTTATTTCTTTCCTGAGAATAAATGCACCCTGTAATTGGAACAAAACTGCATGCCAGTAAATCAAAAGATGGCTTACCAAGTTAAACCAGCATTCACTAATGTAATTGCAAAAGCTACAACAGAAGCAAATGCATTTTCCAGCGGTGATAATTTTGTTATGAAATGTAGAATGTTTATATGCCTGTAACTGGAAATAACTACTATCCTCCCTGAGGAAAAGAATTACTACCCATCTAGCTAATAAAAAAACCATGGTTGTGCGCGTGTTTCTTGCTTCAGATATGAAGGGATTCAAATATCACAGATGTCAGAAGTGGATATCAGAAGGATAATAGTGCAGTCTCCAACTCTAGGCCTACTTCTGAGTGTTAAACACTGCTAAACTTAACCTTCAGTATACTGCATCATTTAGGAAATTGAAATGCTTATGAACCTTGTCAAGAAGACAATAGCAGATGACGTTGAAGTCAATATTACAGAAAAATAATGAATGCAAAGATCTCCTTAGCAGCTTATTTCTTTATATAATTGAATGACTAGCAGATAATTGGAGATAATTAATAGCACGACATCAGAGAAAGCATAAAATCAATGTCAACTTGGGCTAGCTTTGTACTGCATGTACATAACATGGTTTTTTGTACTCACAAGGTGCACCTTTCACGACAAGAGTAAAGATTTGTGTAGCAGGAAACAGGAAATCAGAAAATTTGGTGCACACCTTTTGATGATCAAGGCCAAACATGACAATTTTATCATCAGCACCTCCTGAGATCCCCCCATTGCATAGCCCATCAATAGCAATGGATAAAGCTGCACACCAGACTCTTATTAGATCATACATTATTTCCAAACACCAAAGATATAAACATAGCTACTACTGAAAAAAGGATAGGTTAAATAACTAAAATAGTAATTTTCAGAATGGAGAGCAACCTGATTCTGAGTGATATTTCACTGAGGATACAGGTAGACCAGGATTTCGTACATCCCACAAAAGTGTGCTTCCATCTTCGTAACTGATCACCATAAAAGCAAAGGTTTACTAAAATGAGAACAGTCCAAAAGATGTTAAGCAAAGGAACATTTGTTTTCTTTATGCAAGGGAAAAACACACTGTTAAACAACAACAACTGGGATAAAAGGCTTTCTGCCGTGGCAAAACAGGAGCCTAGGTAATGGCTGTTAATAAATGTGCTTGGGTTTGCACGCTTAACCTTGACAAAAAAATATCTGGACACAAACCTTGACAAAATATTTACATAAGCTGCACCACAAGGGAAGAAAGCTTGCACAGCCATGCATAGTCCTACAATCAACAGCATGAAGTTTTCAAGGATTACTTAAAGCATGAATGCAAGGGAAAAACGAATGTCATTGGGCAATTCAAATGAATTGTTATAAATGTCCTGCAGTGTGCAAATGCAGAGCGGCATAACAGCACACTAGCTATAATAGATAAATTGATGTGAAGCGCAATTTCGTGAACTTAGCAAGCTACTACAGTGAAGAACTGAAGAACATACGTGCAGTCTCATATCATAGAAGATGTATTCATCCTAAACCACATCTATGAAACATTTGCTTCAGTGACTTGTAAAGCACATATTTCTGGCTGACGGCAGGATTTGACAATTTCCTGCTGGATGGGACAGCATCATGGGATGCTACGCTAGCATGAATACACTCGGTATTGTGCATAAGGAAGTAAAATAGTGACACGGCTCGTAAATAATTCTGTTAAGCCAAATACACAAAGATACAGCTATGCTCAGCAAGTATTTATCCTTCAAGGCAATGACAAAGGTATCCTTGTCCTAGTACAATGCCAACAGCCAGTCTATAATCACCAATGCAGCTCCTAATTTATCATCAAGTTCCTGCTTCTTCCGACTATTTCTTGAAAACTAACATTATGCTTTAAAAAATATGGCACCAAAGACATGGTGAGGGCTAACCAGAACCTAGGAGTATAAATGCTTGAAGGTTCTACCAAGCAAGAGATCAGATCGGCACCAGACGTACCACCTTATGCTAGCTCAACCTACATTTGGTATGGTTCATAAGACAAAACAATTACAGCAGAAGTTGTGGAGATGAACCTCTTTGCTTGGTCGGGTGATCAGCCAGATTAGCGCTGCCTGTTTCAGGCAAGCACATTACCTTTATTGCGTTATCAATATCCCAAAGTTCAACCTGTATTCACTTTGTTATTTAGTGACAACATGAAAAAATTGAAAACAGGGCAAGAAAATATGTAGGCACAAAAAAAACGATGAATTAGTTATGTTCTATTGCATCACGCTATGTTTTGCTCAAAGTCAAGATTAAAAACTAACCTGCGATGATTCTTGACCAGCGATTGCCATTATATTTGGTCCTTTACAGCAAGTGCCTAGGAAATACACCATTAAGTCAATCATGAAGAGAGTCACTAAGGAGTTCTCTGACACCAATTTCTTGTCAAGAGTGATCAAGTTTCTAGTTGCTCTCTTTTATTTGAGATGCTGAAATCATGCACTACCTAGTTCACGTTCTTCAGTAACTGTGCTTTGTGACTCAATATCACCAGTTGCGGAGATCAAGCCAGATTGTGTGCAGCATGTAGAACATGTTGACTTAACGAGTGACATTTTGCAGAAATGGTATGTACTTGTTCTGATTGTATATAGGGCCCTCCTGAAAGAACCCAAGAAATTGGATTTGCATGCCACGGAAACTCAAATAAGAAACACAAATGAAACACAGCTCAAACAAAGAAGGTTGACAAGTATGTGTTTTACCATATTCCTTCTGGACCTTACACTTATCATCTTAATTAGGACAAGGTGCTAGTCAACAAATACCGAGGAGGCTCTGACTAGTTTGTTTAAGTTTCTTCATCAATTTACCACTACAGATCATGTAAAGTCCATTGACACAAGAATATGATAGCACTAAGTTGGTATATATATTCTTTTATTATTTAAGAGCTATAAGATCTTCAAGAGGCATATGGGGACCTGCCCTACAGACTATAATCAGGTTAAATATACTGACAAAACATTAATAGCATTACACTTATGCTCTGGTGGATGCACTTGCAGCAGAATGAGGACAACAGGATGGAGTATCCAATTACCTGAGCAGATGGACTTTGTGGAGCAGATGCAATAAATGGTGGAGTATATAGCAGGTAGTTTCAGGATAGATACACTTGGTTTGGTGGCATCAAACCTAATGAGGCCTACATGTGTAGGAGTAAAAGTTGTCTTGCAAAGACTTCTCTTGATGGGTTGTATATCTCTTCTAGTATTCAAAATATCTTTTGTCTATATGTATGCCCATGTCTTCTTCTCCTTGCATTTACATTGGTAAAGCCTACTATTAACCAAGTCCTAATTTATGTTAAAGGTAGCATGTTCTATTTTTTCTTTTTAAAAATTGTATGTCAATCCTTAGCATGTTCCATCCAAAGAAAGATCCAATTCTAACTCCTATTACACTTCATGTGCAATGAGTCATACCGTGAAAGCCCAGCTTCCTCGATTTCCCAGCATTTGCATGATCCATCCCTACCTTGACTGCCTCAGCATCAGAAACAGATATATCGATCAAAATTCAATCCAAATCGTAACAATGTGAGAGGCACTCAACTCAAAATATGCTACTAAAGTTATTTTTATGTTCCATCTGTATAGTACAATGCGCTGATGCTGTCTAGACTGAATAATCAGAAAGATAATACGGTCATATATGATATGAAGAGGTTCAATCCTACTTGCAATGCAATTCCGATCCGAAAAGGCTGTGTACTCAAATCGAAAATATTACACTGATTCAACCCGATGTTTTAACGCATAACAGCTACGGATGCTTCTTATCTAGCCTGTTGCAATAGCATCCTATAATGATGCAAACCTACAGCCAGCAACTCCTGAAAAAATCACCTCTGTTCACTCACCTAATGATTTTGTTTCCAAGTCTGGTGCTAGCAGCCACTGAATATACACCAGCCGATCCACCATGAGCCCTGCAAAATCGTATGCCCTCGCATCAAGTATCCCTCAAAACGAACCAACCATAATCGTTGACGCGGAAATAAATTACCAAACCGAGGAGACAGTGCGGTGGCTCGCTGTGTCCCAAACCCTGAGTTCCCCGTCAGCCGCGCTGGATGAAGAGCAAACCCCAAAATGCAAAAAAGCAGAGGAGATGTTACCGAGAGCGTGATCACAAGCGCGAGGGCTCATACACACGCGCTGCTGCGGCGGAGAATCAGGCAAGGGGGGTTTTGGGGGGTCGAGGGGAGAGCGTACCCGGAGAAGATGAGCGGGAGGGAGGGGTGGAAGCAGACGTCGTTGACGGCGGCGCGGTGGCCTCGGAGCACCGCGACGGGGTCCGGCGCAGGTCGGCGGCGGCGCGGCGGGTTCTCGGCTTCGGCCAGGGCCATGGCTCGGGCTGCGAGATTAGAACTTTCTGGAAGCTTCGGCGTGAGGTCGAAGTAGACAGTGACCAGATGAGAATGGTTTGAGGCCTACTAGAGAGCCGAGTGGGCCGGAGGGCTGGGCCTGGGAACTTTATTACATGGAAAAGGAATAAGTTCACTTTAGGTTCCTCTATTTGTCGCCCAGTCCAAAATTCATCATAGACCGCAAAACCGGATACAACACATCTCCTAACTTACAAAACCGTGCAAACGAGGTCCCTCGATGCTCGGTAGTATTGTGTCTGCTTTTAGCTGACATGGCGCCTACCTGACTCCTTTCACTATGTCTTCGTCTTGTGTGGCATTAACATGGCACTTGCATGCCAATTCAATCTCGGGAAAAAAATTAAAACCGTGGGACCTACAAATCAGTTTGACATACAAAATAATAAAAAATAGTGAGGCCTATGTGACCCAACATATCATCCTCACTACTCCTGCTTTTAACAATTTAATTAATTTTATCAATAGACCATGCCATTAAAAACAAGAGAAGCAAAATAAAAATAATAGTGGTACTCTGATTATCATCTATCCCCTACCTCTTTCTCTATCTTTCCAGCTGGTGGAGCGGCCCATCGGTGTATCGGGTGGGCGACGCCTGGAGTGGACGACAGGCAGCGGCTGGAGCAGGCTAGCGGCAAGAAGGGCGCCAAGGGCCGGGAGCCACTCTCCTCCTCCTCCTCGTCGGTCGCGGGAGGGGAGATGTCGGTGGCGGACTCGACAGTTGCGGCCTCCCCTCGACGGATTCTTTCGGGACGGCGGCGGCGGCACCAGATGACTCAGCGGAAGGGCTCGTCGCCTCCTCCACCTCGGCGCCAGAGGTACCCACCAGGGCCTCCTCCTCCTCTGGCTCTTTCCCCTCTTCTCTCTCACCGAACCTTAGCTACTCCGACCTTCGGCGACAATGTCGACGACAATGGTGGGGTTGTATCAATCGCCAGAGGGGGAGTGAAGAGGGACGACTTCACGGTGTTGGGTTCGCCACCACGCGCGGTCGTTGAGGAGGCAACGATGGAGATGAGGAGCACAACGGTCTCAGAAGGAGGTGCTAGGATTGAGATGAGGAGCACGATAGTCACGGAGGGCAATGCTAGGATAGAGATGTGTCGTGCGCCGCTCCTCTTCTGTCGTCCGCCGGCTGCATGCCACTCCAATCCCGCGGTCCCGCCGCTCGCCACTCCACTCCCACGGCGTGGCTAAAGGAGACAGAGGTAGAGAGGGGTGATGTTGAATAAGTGGGACCCACTGACATGTGGGTCCCACATATTTTGTTTCGATTTTTTATTTTCAATTTGCTGCTTTTAGTTTTTTTTATCGAATTGGCAAGTAAGCGCCACGTCAGTGACATGTGGGATAAAGACCAAGCCAAATGAGCCACATAGGCGCCACGTTAGCCAAAACCAGGGACAATACTATCAAGGGATCTTGTTTGTACTGGTTTCGTAAGTTGGGAGACCCGTCATACCTGGTTTTTGCGACCAAGGGACGAAAATCGGGTTGAGAACAAGTAGAGGGACCCAAAGTGAACTTATTCCCAAGGAAAATGAATTTATGGCAATAATGTATTTTACGATTTGCTCCAGAATTTGTATGTTTTCTCACAAGAAGTGCGTATAGGATAGCGAATTTCACATTTACCCTACAAATTCTGGAGCAAATCGTAAAATACATTATGCGTAATATAGAGAGAAACATGCCTAATATTCCATCCATACGGTATCCTATGTTAAGACAAGAACATGCCTAATATGCCTAATATAGAGAGAAACAAATACTATGAAAAAAAACAATAGTATAGGCTTTGTTTAGTTCACACAAAAATTAAAAGTTTGATTAAAATTGAAACAATGTGACGGAAAAGTTGAAAGTTTGTGTGTAGGAAAGTTTTGATATAATGAAAAAGTTGGAAGTTTGAAGAATTATTTTGGAACTAAACACGGCGTCAAACTTATTTGGATCCTGACACTTAAACGCGGAATTCGGCCCAAATAGTACAAGTGCCCACGCCGCTGAACAGGCCCACCAGCCCATATAACATATGCCACGTCACCGATCCGTGGTGCTGAGCTCTCCAACCAACCAGCGACGAGCACACGGATCGTGTGCTTTCTACGGCCTATCACTAGCCGTCGGATCCGATCGCGATCCCGAAACCTTTCCTCAAACGGTCACAAGAAACCGCCTCGGTCCACGCGTCCACTGCCCCCCCGCAACCCACGCTCTCCAGCCCCGCGCCTATAAAAATCCCCCCACCTCCCCTCCTCCCTCTCACTGTTCGCCTTTCCACGCCAGTTTGGTCGCTCTCGATTTCGATTTCCCCCAAATCCACCGCAAGAGAAAGCCAAGTCGCCGCCGAGAAGCGAAGAGGAGATGGCCCGTACGAAGCAGACCGCCCGCAAGTCCACCGGCGGCAAGGCCCCGAGGAAGCAGCTCGCCACCAAGGTGCGTATCGGCGTCGTCGTTTCATCTCCTTCTCCCGTTCCGATCTGGTGCTTTGTGATTTGGGTGGTTCTAGGGTTTGCGGTTTTGCTGATTTGTGTTGTTGTGTAGGCGGCGAGGAAGTCTGCTCCGACCACCGGCGGCGTGAAGAAGCCCCACCGCTACAGGCCGGGGACGGTGGCGCTCCGCGAGATCCGCAAGTACCAGAAGAGCACGGAGCTCCTGATCCGCAAGCTCCCCTTCCAGCGCCTCGTCCGCGAGATCGCGCAGGACTTCAAGACCGACCTCCGCTTCCAGAGCCACGCGGTGCTCGCCCTCCAGGAGGCCGCCGAGGCCTACCTCGTCGGTCTCTTCGAGGACACCAACCTCTGCGCCATCCACGCCAAGCGCGTCACCATCATGCCCAAGGACATCCAGCTCGCCCGCCGCATCCGCGGCGAGCGCGCGTAAGCCGCCGCCTTCGACGCGGTTGCGTTGCGTAGCGCCGAAGCGATCTGGGGGGATCAACGACGACGACGTGACGTGGTCAACTTGTTGATTCCCCTCTCGCTTCCGCGTTTTAGATCTCGTTTTCATTAGCAGCTTTGTAATAGGGTTTGGTCGGTTAATTAGTGTAAAAACAGGGTTCGGTTAAAGACTCAAAATCAAATGTTATTGCCGTTCTTTGGATTTTGCGGTTAAGCAAAACAGTGTTGAAGACTATTAATATTCGTTTACTATATGGAGATTTGTTCGTAATCTGTTTGCCTGTGATTGCCAGCTGTTTGGCTCGTGATTCGCCTGCGTACTAGTACTGCATTTTTTTTCCATTATTACGTCTGCGCCGTGGAATGGAAGTAATGCGTGCGGGTGGCACGTGAAACACGGCTGTGGCGGTGACGCCCTTGGAATTTGAATGGCAACCGCTCGTATTCTAGACTTGTATAAATTGGTAAAAGTAAAAATGGAGTGAACGCGTATAGGCAGTGTAAGACAAAAAAATATTGTTGCCGAACCGCTTGGGCTGTTGGGTTTCTGGGCATCCTCTGGCTTGTAGGCCCAATACTGAATAATAAGCCCATGAACTGACAATACTTGAATAATAAGCCCATGAACTAATATTTTTGCTCATATACCCCATCAGACCATATCCAATCCTTTGCGCTGTGTGGGGCCCACCTGTCACTATGGCTCTATTTTCTTTAGCAAATCTGCACTGATCAGTGATCAGCTTCAAAACAGAGTCTGCCTTTTGTGGCATTCCACAAATGTTGTGGATTGATGTTTGACAAGTCAAACGGCATCGTTGGGATGGGCTAGTGTAGTTTGAGGCATAAATTAGGTTTATCAATATTTTTCAACTTCAATAGTGTTTAGTGTCTATTTGGTTTGAACCAAAATTTTTAACATGCCTAAGAAAATATGTCATTTCAATAGTGAACTTAGGCTATTTTAACTTCAATCCAAACACAACTTTAACCAAAATTTTTGATATGCTTAAGAAAATAGGTCATTTCAATAGTAAACTTAGGCTATTTTGGCTTCAATCCAAACACAACTTTGCCTGATCAAATTTTGTTATTTCTAAATTTTACTAAAATTTAGTAAGGTTTATTTAGGCCACAAATCAAACCAACCCGAAATGGTTTTTTAGTATGAGTATGTAGGCTTCATTAATAAATAATGATGATTAATGATTCCTAGAGTAAAAAAAAAACTGTAGGCACATTGGTGATCGGTATTTTGGCAGAAATATTCACCACAAACCACAGTGCATTTATAGTTTATTGCTTTCTCCCCGTGCAAGTAATTAACCTGTTATTACAGTTTGCATAATATTTTTCTTTGTTCATAAATTTTATTACTGAGAGAAATCACTTGTAACATCTCGTTTTCTGCGTATAAAACTGTGAGAACAAGCAACCTCCAACCAACCCCAAAACACGTAGCCAAAAACCTTCAACCGAAAGAAGCACACAAGCACACCCCACCTCACAAAACCCTCAAATTCTCCCCAAAAACAAAACCATCTCTCAAAATTCAAACCACCCAACACCCGCCTCTCTCCCAATTTGAATCCAAACTAAAAACCCCAAACGAAAACGCAAACCCGCAACTCCAAATCGGGTTCAGAAACACCTCCCGAAAAAACACCCGAAAAAACACACTCCCCATTTCCCCAATCCCTCCCAATCCCCCACCTCCCCGCGGCGAAAAGGTCCAGAAGCTCCCAGAATCGGCATGCGCGGATCGGCGCGCCACGTGTACGGCCATGATTCATCTCCCCCGGATCCCGATCCGTGTGAGGCTTCCTCCAGCCAATCGCGGCGCTCCGCCCTCCGGTATAAACCGCGCGCCTCTCGAATCCGCACCTCGTCACGCACACAGCAGTTGAGCTCTTTTTCCACTACGCACTAGTAGTAGCACTCTGGTATTCTCCCATGGCGACTGCGACCGAGGAGGTTGCCGCTGCGGCTGCTGCCGCCGGCGAGGCGCCGCCGCCGCCGCCGCCAGCGGTGGTAGAGGAGGCGAAGGAGGCTTTGGAGGCACCGAAGCCGGAGGAGGCGCCGAAGGCTGAGGAGGGGGAGGAGAAGAAGGCGGAGGGTGAGAAGGAGAAGGAGAAGGCGAAGAAGGAGAGGAAACCGAGGGCGAGGAAGCCCCGATCGGCGGGGCCACACCACCCGCCCTACTTCGAGGTGAGGGGAAAATCAATTGATCGATCGATGCAGTGATCATGTATTGGGTTGATTCGAGTTTGTGAGAATTTTGTGTGGTTTTGAGCCAGATGATCAAGGAGGCGATCATGGCGCTGGACGGGAACGGCAAGGCGGGATCGAGCCCGTACGCGATCGCCAAGTACATGGGGGAGCAGCACATGGGGGTTCTCCCGGCGAACTACCGGAAGGTGCTCGCCGTGCAGCTGCGGAACTTCGCCGCCAAGGGCCGGCTCGTGAAGGTGAAGGCCTCGTTCAAGCTGTCGGCTGCCGAGGAGAAGAAGGCGACGGCGGCGAAGGCGGCCAGGTCCAAGGCGGCCAAGGGCGTCGTCGGCGGCGCCAAGAGGAAGAGGACCCCGCGCCCCTCCGCCGCCGCCGCCAAGAAGCCCGCGTCGTCGGCGGAGGCGAAGAAGGCGGTTCCCCCCGCCCGCCCAGCCCGCGCCAAGAGGGCGAGGAAGGCCGCCCCCGCGAAGCCGATGCAGCCGCCCAAATCCATCCGCTCCGCCATCTCCAAGAAGGCCAACAAGGCCAGCGCCTGATCATCGCCGCCGTCTCGCCGCCCGTCGCCGCCGCGCGCTGTATCCCTGTATAGCCTAGGTGTTGTCGCTTACCTAGTAGTAGTTCGCCATCGTCGTCTCGTCTGCTTCGATCGATCGAGCGCTCTGTGTCCGGTGTGTGTGTTGCGTTGTAGATAAGGTTTGGGTTTCTTTTTGCAAGGGAGGAAGAAGCTACTGTAGCATATCGCCAAGAAGCTGTAGTAATAAGATGATCTGGCGCTCGCAGCTTTGCCTTATGATCAACAAACTGTTCATATTCTTCTTCTTCTTCTTTTTTTCAGTTAGTTTCTGTTTTGAATTCTGATCAAGTTAAATTCTTGTTAAAAAAAAAAAGAATCATCAAGTTCATTCAGCCTCTGGATCATTCGCGGGAGGATGAGAATGATTTTGTTCCATGTCAAGGTGTAGGGTGCCGCGTGGCAGTGTGGCACTCGCATTGGGGCATTGGGCAAGCTGATGAACTGCAAAAGACGCACTGTAGGTTGGATGAGGACGGCCGGTGTGTGCTGACTGCTGAAGTGCTGAGTGACTCGCGGTGGCTGTCACGATTGGTGTGATGATATTTTGCATCTGATCCTTCTTCATTATCTGTGCCCCACTAAAGCGTCATTTTGATTTTTGATTTCTGCTAAGGTTGTGTGGAATCAATAGGCTGGTTTGGTTTGAGACATAAATTAGACTTACCATGGCAATTTTAATAATGTTTAGTGTCTATTTGGTTTGAAGCCAAATTTTGGTATGTCTAAGAAAATATACCATTTCAATAGTGAACTTAGACTATTTTAGCTTTAATTTAAACATAATTTTATCTTACTAAAATTAGTTACGCTAAAACTTGTCAAAATTTAGTAAGGTCAAACCACCCCAACATTCGTTCGGCTCTGCATCTGTCCACCGTTGTCTCTTTATGCTGTGCCTGTGTGTTTACTAGGGAGAAATTGGAATTTAATCAGATTTAACACTAAATTCAACATGATACTATATGTCCAACATTTAATTTATTGTATACTACTATAAATAAATTTAATATGAAATATTGCAACAAATTTAATATCGAGTATTGCAATAGATTTAATGCGAAGTATTGAAAAAAATACAAATTTAGTAGCGTACTTATCACAAAACTGAAGGTCTAATGACAATTTAACAAAATCTTCGTTTATAACTTAGAAATAACATTAGTGACACGATTTAAGCCACAAACTTATAGTTTTGGAATAATTTTATTATTAAATATTTAGTTTTATGATATTTAGTCTTAAACCTATAATATTGTGATAATTTTTTAAAATATGTAGCTTTGTGATGCATCACCTTAAATTTGCGGTTTTATAATAATTTGATCAAAATATCTAAATATCTATAACTTTGTGTGAAATGTACTCTATGTTTTTGTAAAAAATAGCAAGCTAAATGATTCCACGCTTCTGATAATTCATAATACAGTTTTTCGTTAAAGGAATCTGAAATACAGTATTCAAAATCGATATTGTAATTTAAATTTAAAACTCGGTTGTATTGGAAGTTCCGGAGCAGGAGAAGATGACCTCAACAACTTTCAGCGTAGTATATGCAAATCTCAAATTCACAATTTACAATAATAATCATTAAATTGTTCTAAATACTCTTGATCTGTGCCACGTTAAATTTCAGCAGTTTCACGGAAGTAACACAAGAATACACAAATAATAATCTTTGCTTCACTAGAGACTAGAATTTACTAAACCATTTGAGATGGGGTTACCGTCACCTTACGATTTAACAGTTAACATATGTACCGTATTTTTAAAATAAAAGGATTATCATACGTGATAAACAAAACAATATCACGGTTTTATAAACCTTGCCGGAGAGACAACCAGCAAATAATCCATCCCTCCCCTCTCCCCATCAAGCCGCCCCCATCTGCTATCTACCCGCAAGCACTCATGTGTCACTGAACCGTGGGCCACCACCTCCTCCCCTCCCCAACGCAATCCCGGTCGCTGCTACCCTCCTCTTGCTCCCCCCAACCCTCGCCAAAAAAAAAAAAAAAAAAAAACAGAAAAAACAGTAGCGGTGGCGGCATCATCAGCAGCAGCAGCAGCAGCGGTGGTGGTGGTCGCCGTAGCGGCTGCCAGCTTTGACCCCCACCTCACCCGCCTCCGGCGGCGCCGCCGCTCCCGTTCCTGCGCTCGCCGGCGGCGCGGCGGGTCCTCCTCCTTTCCCTCTGGCGCGCGGGGCCCCGCCCCCTCTCCCACCCCCAACATGGAAGCCTCTAGAAGGAGGGGAAGCTGCTGATACTGTAGGGTAAACTCTCTCCCTCTCTCTCTATTTCCGCAAATTGAGGAGTGGTTTCCCCCCAGATTTTTCGGGTGGTTTCGCGCATTGGATAAGGGAGCTCCCGCCGCGAGCGAGGGCGCGCGCGTTTTTTTGGCGGCGGTGTTGCTCGGTGAGTGGGTGGGTGATCTAGGGTTTAGCGGAATCCGATTTGGGCTTAGACGTGGGTTTTTCCAGCGTCGGGTTTGGAGTTCCTGCTGCAATTAAGCCAGCGGAGGAAAAGGTTTGATTTGGAGCTCCAAATTACTTCGTCTTGCTTCAAAGCGCTGAATGCACATGCATGTGATGTGAGGTAGTACTTGGATGATGGAGTGGTAGTAGCAGTGTTCATGTTTGATAAGATCGTTTTGGTGGTGTGATTCGAGCATGCGCGTTGGGATGACGAGCGTGTGAGTGCTTCTGCTTGACTGCTTCCATGGTAGTAGTGGAGCCAGAATCAGGTGCTATAGTCACTCATAGCCAGTTTTGGTGTGGATTATGGATATGCGAGTTGAAATTTTGTGTTCCTCTTTAATGATTGTTGAACTTGTTGCGTATTTATCTTTCCAAAATGGCGTGGAACTATTGCACTAATTGTTTGTGACTTCGTGCATCTTAGATGTAACGGCTGGTTTGTCGATTATCTAAAAAGTCAGTTTAGTGTGGATGCTCTTCTCTATGCCGTGCTGGCTCAAGCTCCATACATTTTCTGCTGAGCATGAGCTTTGTCTGTTTAGATATCTACCTTTGGTCGAATCAACCTCTGTAAAGTAGGAAGCAGCTGGAGATAGGGCAAAGCTAGCTTCAATGCTGTCGTCATGTGCGGCTTGAGTGTATAAAACTTTGCAGATTTGTTTCTGAGGATTCGGTTAAGGTGTTTGAACACTGGGCTATGATCAGGAAATCATGTACTAGTGTATTCAGTTTCAGTATCATGTAGTAATTTGAATAGCCAAGGCTTTGGTGATCCTCACATTGCTTCTTTGCTCAGTACTTGTGCACTGGTTGTGGAGCCAATGCATAAATCTATTTCTTCTAGAGCTTTAAAGGGATAATCCGCACAATTGACTTATTGCTTGTTTATAACCATGAACCAAATCATGCCTTATTATTACTGGACTCGTTTTTACCTTAATACTTCTCTAGAATTTTACTGTACCCTTTTTTCCTTGTATACCTGTCAACTTTAAAGTCTCTGCATGGCTATCCTATACCGAACAGTTATAGGCAGATACATCTTGCCTGAAGAAGTCATTCCTCTTCCTCTTGGGTTCAAAAGTCAACCCTCTCTAGACTCTATCCTATACTGAATTGTCTCTGTCGTCTATCCTCTATCGCATTTTCTTTAGTTCCCCCTTGAGCCCCAAGCTTGGTCCTGACCTAGCTAGTTTACCATTGGCATTTGGCACATACCTTCCCTGGAGTAACATTTGCGGTACCATTTATCTTTGTTTCTTTTCTTATTTTTCAGGTGATCGAATAATTGCCCCTTTTTCTGTTACAAGCAAATGTGATAATGGACAACCTTGGCCATAGAGAAAATGGGAGGCAAAGGCCAGACCAATATAAAGGACTTCATACCCAGGTTTGTGCATCATAAGAATGCAGGCATGATTTTAGATTTATTTATATTAGTATGGCACATGCAATATCTACCATTGTTTAATATATTTGCTACGATGTTCAATTGGATTATTTCCCTAGATGAATACTCAAAATGTGCATATATGTTTTGGTTAGATAAAAGACTGCTTAAATTCTGACTGCAAAAGTGCAAATCAAAACATTATCTAAAAAAAGGTGCAAATCAAACAAATTGAAAGATGGGGATATCAGCTGTCCTGCTTTGCTGTACTGCGTGACAAAGGCATATACATGTCAAAGTACAGAACACCTTCTGCTACGGCACTTAGATAAAACTTATGTGTGCTGTCCAGTCAAAAGTTCCACATATGCAAGTTTTTAATGAGTGTATTACGCTCACATTGTTGGTATTTTGGAAAATAACCGAATACTCAAATTATGGAGATGACAAATTTTGATGGGTGGGAACTGTTTTGGTACAACATATCCAATCAGCCGCAATCATTTATAACTGTTCATGTATGTTCTACTTTTCTGTACTTATTCCTGTATTATGGTGCGTGTGGTATTTAACTGCTTTCCATGTTGGAAATTAATTACTGCGGGTCCAATGTAATTATGTCAATCATGATTTTAAGAAAATAGACCTTTTGGTGTAGCTTGCGTTTAGCATGCATTCGTAGCACTATTGTTTACATAGGCTTTACCTATCTTATTCTTTGTCAATAAGATATCTCACATAAGTGCTCTAGATGGTCCTAGTTCTCTTGCAATTTACAGGATAACTCAGTTCTGTTAGATTGTAATTTATGCTTTACAAGTGTGAATGCTGGCTTGCAGGGAACATGCATTTCTTGTGGAACATTTGTGTTATGTCTGTGTCTGTGTCCAATCTGAGTTTTATGAACTAGCTTCAGGCTGATGTATCTTTTCATGTTGCGAGCTTTTTTTGTCCTTTTCTTCTACGTTTTCTGTGCTATGTATGTCCTTGTTATAGCAGGAGGTGGATATTGCAACCTCCAAAAGATCTTTCAGAAATGTGCACTGTTCAGCTTTAAATGTATAACTTTTCAGCTAGATCACAAACAAAACAAATAACATTATGAACTGATTTACCAGCATGTATTGATTTCATTTATGAAAGTTCTCTGAAGATAGTTGTTATAAAGAATCATTCTCTAAAAGAATGTGCCAACCATGTCAACTAATATATCCACTCAATGTTTTTTTCAGTGGATGATGCCCCAGACCCAAAGGCATCTGAAGGACCATCAAAGTATGAATCTCTTGGCACTGATGAATGATAGAGATAATGCCATCCGAGAAAGGGACCATGCTCTGGCTGAGAAGAAGGCAGCCATAGCTGAGCGCGATATGGCGTTTACTCAACGGGATGCTGCAATGGCTGAGCGTAATGCTGCAGTCGTGGAAAGGGACAATGCCCTTGCTGCTCTTGAGTTAGCACGTACAAACGGATTGAACATGAATAACGGGAATGGATTCCCCCAAGGATCTCTCAGCGGATCAAAGAACATCCACCACCACGACCAGCTTTCTCATGCTCAGTCATCACCGCTGCAACTGGCAGATTCTCCATATGATCATGCTAGAGAAATGCACATATCAGAAGCATACCCTATCTCAACAGCTCCAGGGAGTGCTGGAAAAGCAAAGAGGCCAAAGAAGAATAGTTCCCAAGCCTCTCCATTGAAGAGGCCATCAGGTGTGCTCCGGAAAACCAAGAAACCTTCTGGTGACTGGAAGAATGTCGGGATGTCTGGTTGTGGAGATGATTCTGCTCATGCTTCTGTGATGAAGAACGAGTGGAAGGACCAAAACCTTGGTCTGAATCAAGTTGCGTTTGATGATTCCACGATGCCCGCGCCTGCCTGTTCATGCACGGGGAAGCTTCGCCAATGCTACAAGTGGGGAAACGGGGGATGGCAATCATCATGTTGCACCATGAACATTTCCATGTACCCACTCCCAGTGATGCCGAACAAGCGGCATGCTCGCATGGGGGGACGGAAGATGAGCGGCGGTGCCTTCACAAAGCTGCTGAGCCGACTAGCGGCCGAAGGTCATGATCTCTCGACGCCGGTCGACCTCAAGGACCACTGGGCTAAGCATGGTACAAACCGGTACATCACCATCCGGTAGCTTGCTGATGAACGCGGATGTGATTCAAGCTGGAAAGATGGGGAAGATCAGGCAAATCTTGCTTCTCCTGCATTCCCTAAACCCTTTGCTAGGGCCAGTCTTTGTAAGGTTGTCATTGGTTTGTAGCGGATGTAGGTAGAATTTTGTGTTTAAAGTTCTGTAGGTTCTTCTCTCCCGTTCTGAACTCTGAATTTTCTCGTGGCTCTAGAACGCTGCAGCCCACGAGAATTAAAAAATGTAACCGTAGTCTGCAGGTATTCATCGTCAGATCATTGTATAGTTTGACAACCAGATTTATGTGGTAGTAGACCAGTAGTGAATGGCATATTTGTCGAAGAGGCCATTTGCCTGAATCGTTTGGTAGCTAGCAACTGACTGAATGTGAAGCTAAACATTCAGTTGCCACCAAACGATTCATACCAACATTTTTTTGCTCGTTCGGAAGGCTGCTTGCACAACATCTGTTTTTCAAGGGAATCTGTACATGATGCTACTCTGACAAGAGGCCTGCAAGAAACAACAGAAATCCCCAAACTCTACAGGATTCAGTTAGCTAAATCATGCCACTTTGTATCAATCAATATCTGTTACTCACTCCGATTTCGATTTAATTTTAATTGACGTTTTAGATAATAACACAATATACAAAATATACATTTAACCTTATTTTTCGATTATAATATACACAAGAAATAAATACATGTTTACTTTTATTATAGTGTTTTGAAAGAAAAATCTATATATGTTATTCTAGTTTCTTTAAACTAAATATTTTTAAAGTTATTATTGATGACGACCAAAGTTATAAAAGTTTGATCTCAACCTTATAAAAAAAAAAGTCAATTATTATAGAACCAGAGGGAGTAGTAGCTTAATTGATGTACTTAGCCATAGATCACACAGCCAGTTGAAACATGAAAACACAATCACAAAACCCAAGTCTGCAGATGCATCAATCGTGAAGCCAAACACTTTTTGGGATATCAGTTACAGACTCAGTTTGTACGGTGTTCTTGCAACAAAGATTCAGATAGCAGCAGAACACAACACATCCACACAGAAAAAAGCAATCAGAATTCCAAAGATTTTAAACTAGATGGAGTAGATAGGATTAGTTGGCGAGAGGGTTGGCGTGGATGGTGACGCGGTTGAGCCTGATCTCGGCGAGGGGGCGGTCGCCGGGCCCCGTCTGCGCCTTCTCCATGAGGTCGAGCACCTCGAATCCATGGATGACCTTGGCGAACACGGTGTAGTGGCCGTTGAGGTGAGGCTGCTTGGCGTAGGTGATGAAGAACTGGCTCCCGTTGGTGTTGGGCCCGCTGTTCGCCATCGACATCACCCCGCGGGCGTTGTGCTTGAGCGACTCCCTGAACTCGTCGGCGAACTTCTTCCCCCAGATCGAGGTGCCCCCCTTCCCCGTGCCCGTCGGGTCGCCGCCCTGGATCATGAACCCCTTGATGTTGCGGTGGAAGATGGTGCCGTCGTAGTAGCCGCTCGCGCACAGCGCCAGGAAGTTCTCCGCCGTCCGCGGCGCCTGGTCGCAGAACACCTCGCACTTGATGTCCCCGAGATTCGTGTGCAGCGTCACCGACTGCGGCGGAGATCAATCGGTCCTCCGGTCAGCCACAGGGAAGAGATTTTCCGGTGAGGGAGAGTGAGATTCGAGCGGCGAGGGCTTACCATGGCGGCGGCGGCGAGGCGACGGGTTGCTTCGTTTCGGCGGCGAGGAGAAGCGTAGAGAAGTCTCGAGTCTTTGGGGAAGACGGTTTGGTGGGTTGGGCTGGGCCGCCATTTTTATGGATCGAGAATTCGCACTGACAAATACTACCTCCGTTTTTTAATAGATGACGCCGTTAACCTTTTCTCACATATTTGACCATTCGTCTTATTCAAAAATTTTATGCAAATGTATATGATATAAATCATACTTAAAGTACTATGAGTGATAAAACAACTCATAACAAAATAAATTATAATTACATAAATTTTTTGAATAAGACGAATGGTTAAACATGTGATAAAAAGTCAACGGCGTCATCTATTAAAAAACGGAGGGAGTACTCCATTATGTTTGACCTTCGTTTTATTTAAAAAAGATTAAATTTCACTTTGGATCATGTTTATTGACCAAAATTTCACATTGGGCTAGGGCTAAGCTCATGTCTTCACTTAACACCACGTATAATTACCGTTCTTTGCACTTTAGACCTGGTTTTATAGTTACCATCACACGAGTTGTTGTCTAGGTGCTTAGTATTTTACAAGAAACAATGATATGGAAATTTTTGCCATGCAAATATGCTTAGCGCAAGAACAATGATTGTAACATGTTACAGGATATCCTATCAGATTAATGGGACTTCATTACTACTACATATGAACATTCACAACCCTTATACTAGAGACAAAATTGGAGAAATATTGAGTTTAAGAACTATTTTTTTAGAAAATATATTACATGTTTTACAATACCCAATTGTAGTGTTAGTACAAATTGTTGAATTCTAAGTTTTCTAACACAAAAAAGAAATGAGATCAGATCTATAATCATTATACTATGTGTGATTTGTGAAACCCAGTCCAAAGTGTAAATGATGGTAACTATATATGGTGTTAAGTGAAAATACAAGTCTAACTCTAGTCCAATGTGAAATTTTGGTAAATAAAGGTTGACCAAAGTGAAATTTACTCTTTAAAAAAATTAAGTAATTATTTTTTTCTTATTATTTAATTTATTGTTAATATATACATATAGTTTTACATATTTTATAAAATTTTTAAATAACACTTAAACATATTTTTTAAAAAAATCAACAGCGTCAAATATTTAGAGACGGAGGTAGCTAACAAATTTGATTTGTATCTTTCAAGTTTTTAGCCTCTTTACCTCTGAAAAAGTTTTTAGCCTCTCATTATCTCTAAAAAAAGTAGTACTTATTAGTAGCTTATCAGTTATAGTTAAATTATAAAACTTCAATTGTAAATTGATTTTAAGGTCTTCTCATATTCTATTTTTCAGCATTTGTTTTTAAACCATTAATAACAGGATATAAAAGTTTACCTATAATAAATTATTGATAAGTTATCTTTTCATATAAACATAAATATAATTTTATCTATAAACTACTTCTAACTCCTTTATTTATTTCTTCACGGTTTGTCAGCTCCTGAGTTTTGCGTTTGAATATTTGTTTCTGGAGATAGGAGACAACGGCCACACAAGAAAAAAACTGATCAAATAGGGCTTTTGCAATACATTTCATCTGAATTCTGTAACCAACATGTTCTTTTTTTCCTATGCATGATTGTTCCATTGTTTGTGAAACTGTTCTAGTGACAAAAATGAACCCCAATAAATAAATAATTTTGATGACAACATATGAGTCGCGTCCAAAACCCTGGCACAAGCAGGAACTGATTTACAAACTCACAAAACAAAAACCCAACACTAGCTTATGTCACAATGGACCTACAGAGAGAATGAACTTATGCTTGATTTAACCTATCAACAGATGGGCAATTTTCTATCTGAAACCCCTACAATGGAAGCAGCTGAGACCTACAGATCAATAAAAGCAACTCAGCAACAACTTTCAAAAGAACTGTTGTTCTTCAACAGATCAATACAAACATGGTCCTGATTTGTCTTTGTTCCAGCAAAGGCGTACGATTGCTCCTACTGGTTGTTAGGAGTAGTTCCCATGGTAAAGAAGGATTATACCATCTTTTTCCTCTATGCCCCCTGGATTCTCTGTGGAGTACCTGGCAAAGCAGTTATTCCATTCCATGACAAGCTCGAGAGGATAATCCTGGTGTTTCAATGATTCGGTTTATGGCTATCTGTAATCGTCCTGAGCCTTTGCACTAAGACAGGGATATCATGTTCGCTCAATGTCGTGAAGCAACACCTGAACCATCCAGGCTCGATGCAATGGCAAGATGAACCTGGAGTGACATTGACCTTTGCCTCCTCCAATAACCTATCCCAAAGCTTGCGCTCCCCTTTCTCGCTGTAAGACCTGATGAACTTGCTCATGTCTGCCCAGCAGTAGAACCCTCCACTGCTCTTGTAGCACTCAATCCCCACTTGATCCAAAGCATCAACAAACAAATGGTACATCTTGCGCAATCTCTCTCTATTAACTTTTAGGTAATCTGAAATGAACTTTTGGTCCGAGAGCATGGCAACAAGCAAGCGTTGTGTTGGAGTTGACACAGACGAGAACCTAGCAATCTTAGCAGCTGCTGTCACGATGCTTTCATTATAGGAATATATTACCCCAACCCGAAACCCGGCAAGAGATAGGTCTTTCGAGAGTCCATATATTATGTGCACCCTGCCTTTGTCAAAGTCTTCTAGATCATCAACAACCTCTGCCACACTTACAAATTTTCCAGATCCATATGTTGAGCCAGCAAACACTTCATCAGATATCAAGTGGATGTTCTTCTCTGCAGCAAACTCTAGAAGATCATGCAGTGTTTGCTTGGGCACAAAGCTTCCTGTAGGGTTATTTGGGTTGGATATGAGAACCCCACGAACCTTTATTCCTCGCTTCTTTGCCTGATTGTAGGCTATTTCTAGAGCAGTGATACTAATGTTGAAGTTGTCAGTGCTACGGCAAGGAACAGGTATCAACTCAATTCCAGTGCGCCATTTTATGTCCCTGTCCCACCTGCAGAAATGAAGTGACAGTTAGTACCTTCACTTCCAATACGTTCATACAGATGAACCTAGAGATTGGAGAAGAGACATACCCAGGGTAGTATGGTGATGGAACAAGAAATGCATTTCCTGGATCAGCAAGGCAGAAACTCAGTATTTCCATTGCAGGAGTTGCACCAGATGTTATAACCACCTGAGATGGTTCAAAGGACACTGATCCTTGCATGATTTGCCTCATAAATCCAGCAAGAGCCTGAAAGAGAAATTTAACACTTCATATCGGAAAATTTGCACACAGAAGAACACAAATTAATCATGGAGAAAATAGTTCAATGTCAGGTAACAGATCAAAACCACTGTGTGGAAAAAGGGTAAAACTGAGGGATGCTAGCAAAGATATGCAGATTTTGGACAATGTTGAAGCATGAAGCACAAGACAGGGGAAAGGAAAACTATAAGCAATACAAAGTACTGATCTTGCAATGCTCACATTGTCATGTGTTTACATGTTCAATAATAAATTCAGTGACTGCACAACAATGAGTTCCTGAGAATCATATGCTGTACTAGATTGGTGGAACAGTCCAGTTCTAATGAAACATCACAATTGAAAAAAAAAAGCTTTATAGATTCCTCTAATCATTTGAATGGAAAATAGGTCAACCAAAATTTACAAGCTAATACAGAAAATAAGCAAAAAGATAAAGTAAACCCGCATGATGTTAAGGTCCAACAGCAGACATGACAAATTTGCCAGCTTCAGTATGATAACTGGTGATTATCAGCATGCCATTCAACAATGAACTGTGAAGCGAGACCATTCTAGCAGGTATGATATAATATGAAATTTTATTCAAATTCACGCGGATTTACAGCAGCGTAATACAGAGTAAGTCAATAATATGGAACTCTTGATTATTTTTTTTAATTCTACGAAAGAGCTGATCAAGATAGTGGATCTTTTCAGTTGAAGTCAAGGTTTGACAGATGGCACAATTGCAGCCACCATAGCAAAAAATGACATCCAAGAATAAACGCAAGCGACACCTCTTCTGCAGATAACATACATGTGGCTACCAAAAAAACAAGAGCAGAAGGAAACAAAAATGCACAGTACCGCGTCAACAATAATATTCCAATTCAGGCTTAATCGCTAATAAGGTCAGTTGTAATTGCCATAATTCTTCATCCATCCAATAATGAATCACACACTGTTAACACTGTTATTGATCGAGCTATGTCATCCAAAAATTTGTCTATGTGACCACATCCATCTAAACAGAACAACCGCTTAAAACAATCAATTTTAAGCAAAGCTTTCTTGAAACATGAGAAAACAAAAGTATTCTTTTTGTGTAAGAAACAAAAAGATTGAGGTAGCATCACTGGGGTAATGGGCTAAGTGCAAAAAAAGCTTTGGAAGAATCAAAACAGGGCGAGTTGTTGGATTCGATGTTCTCATGGATGGGATCAGGGGGGATTCTGCAACATTTTTGTTGCCAGAGACAGAACCTATCTTTCTGACAGAAATGGATGTTTATTTTTTTTCGTCGTATGGAATCAGGGGGGGGGGGGGGGGGGGAATCGTTTGGCTTACCATCTTCAAGGCAAGTATCCCGTCGTACGGCTGGTAGGCGGCGAGGCCTCTGATGGAGAGCTCCCTCTCGTCCTCGTCTTCTCCGCCCGCCATGGACGCCGCCTCCGCCGCGTGCTCCTCCATCCATCTCCCAACCAAATCCAGCGACAGCTGCACGCACCAATCACCAGAAACCAAACCGCGTCATCACCATCGTCGGCTTCGAAATTAACGATAGAGAGATAGAGAGAGAGAGAGTATTGCGAACGTACGTAGTTCTCGGCGAGGCCGAGCTGGATGATGCCGGAGGGGTTGGTGACCGGGTGGTAGGGGTCGGCGGCGCAGCGGCGGAGGCCGGCGTAGTAGAGCGAGTCGTCGTCGCGGACGGAGGCGCCGCGCGCGGAGATGGCCGGGAGCGCGGCGCGCGGGGCGAGGAGGCCGCGCGAGAGCGAGCGGTGGATCGGCGACACCGCCGCGGCGGAGGCGGCCGTGGGGGATCCGGGCGGCGGCGGCGGCGAGGCGCGGTTGCGCTTGATGTAGAGCTGGAAGAAGTAGAAGAGGGCGCAGGGGATGAGGGAGCCGAGCACGAGCCCCCCGCGTCCCTGCACCACCCCCTGCAGCGGCACCACGATGCGCATCCCGCCGTCCGCCCGCGGCCTCCTCTCGGACGCCGCGCTCGCGCTCCTCTTCTTCTTCTTCTTCGCCGCGCCGCCGTTGCCGCTCCGCCTCATGGGACGCCGACCGACGAGGAGATGACGTCACGTCACCCCGCCGCCCGGCGCCACGCGCGGCGGGCGTGCATAGGCGGGGGGTGTGGAGGGATTGGGTTGGGTTGGGTTGGCGGGGAGGAGAGGGATTTGGGAGGGGGTTTTGGGGGGAGGAGGAGGAGGAGAGGGGCACGCCGGATTTGGCGTCTTGCCTCTTCTTTCTTTCGTACGAGTACGACGCGACGCCGGGGGTAAAAAAAATTGAGATTTTCGCCGTGATTCCGCTGGTTTCGGCGGTCGAACGAACGACCGGGGAATGGACGAATGGTTAGTGATGGATGGTAACCAGCTGTTTGATGTTAAAATAAACCTTGTCAAAATTTAATAATACCAATAGTATTATAAAATTTTTGGTAAAATTGACTTAATAATGTTGCCAAATTCTATTCACATTACTAATGGTAACAAATAAACGTAGACACGTAATTATCAACCAAATAATGGTATGGCCATCAATCTGAACATGCCTCCAATTTTCACAGCTTTTACAAATGAACCTTTAAAATTGAGTCATTAGTACATAATTAATTAAGTTATTATTTTGAGATTAGAAATAGATTAATGTGATTTTCTAAAACAACAATTTTATATAAAAAAACACCGTTTAACAATTTAAAAAGTATGCGCACAGAGAATGATAATTTTTTTTGCACTCATTCCGCAAACAAATTGCACGTTGGCTTATCGTAGCTAATATTATAATTTTAAAGCTTTTCCAAGTTAATTTTAGGGATTTTCCTTTGTATTGCTAATATCATGAAATAAAATTTTAATCTAAAAATCATTATTTATGCCTTTTTCAACCTTTTGAGTTTGGAAGTTTTTTCTCGCGGCTTATTTATTAGTCGTACCTGAAAATGGCAAGAAAATTCAGCTTCTCTAAATTAGCTTCTGCACGAGCAAAATTTGTTTTCAGCCCAAAGTTCGAAGCTTTGCCTATCTAGTGATCTCTTCAACGTAACGACGTTGTTGCCACGGCATGCTATAAGCGTAGCAAAAGAATATACACTTCACTCGGAGTTGGTGATCGTCGTGGTTAGGATAGGATTTTCGAGTGGTTCTCGAGGCTTGTTTGTAATTTGCAAATTGCAACCCTGGGGTTCACGATGTGATTGTGTCAAGTGGAGTGACAGAAATGGATTGATTTGGGCGTGTTCTTCCCAACTCTCATCTTCTCTTCCTCTTGCTGTTTGGAAGTACTTGCAAACTCAGGCTTTGTTCATTTCACCAATCATTTTTTTTCTTCTTCAGAGAACTCATTTCGTATTTTCGTTCAGGCCTGAAGATAAAAACGGACGAGAGATGCATATGGAATTCAGTGACAACAACAATGTATTGGACAGGTGAAACCGGGAAGAAAACGCAGCTGGGGTTGTGAACAAAACACTCTTGTTCGCATCTGCTGCAAGAAGCCTAGGACGAAATCTCAACCTGCTGCCAACTGTTGCAGAGAGGGACTGGTTGGCTGCTTCTGAATTCCCAAGAGCCGTATTGGTTTTTTTTGTATAACAAAAGGAGCTTCCGAAGCTGCTGGCCTTTGCCTGTTGCCTTCTAGTGCAAATTTTCATCGCCTCAGTTGTGCCGCAAGAGACGAGCACTTGGGCAGAAAGTATATAATTATATCCCAAGATTCTTTTTTTTAAAAAAAAAGGAGCTTTGATTGCATTGGAAGCGTTAAATAATCGTTTGCTGCATCCAGCTTAGAATAGTACTAAGAAAGATTCCATGGCAGCAGTGGAAGTCAGTTAAACATGAAGCATTGCTCGCTTTTCTGCAGCCTCGGTGATTTCTCTTTTCTGTTTAATAACAGTGAAATGCATCCTCAGTTAAGCATGTACCAAACCAGGGATAAAGGAGCTGCTAAATGCTACTACTAGCATCTTGGACATGTTCAGTTAACCTGCAATACACTCTTGAAGATCGAGACGACGATCTTTTCATGTTGCTGGCGGCAAACGAGTCCAGTTTTAGCTATAAACAGATACGCATACACTGTCTTTGCAGCACTGTCGGTTGGCTAGGCTGATTATAAATCATAACACCTTATTAGCGACAAAAAATAGTTTATAAATATATTTTTTATATAAACGTCTTAAAAGTTAACGCTGAAAAAGAAAGTAGGTTTAAAATACCCTTTAAAACAATTCTAAAAGTAAGTTTCGAAATTTTGGTGTAGTGAGGATAACAAACTAATCCATACCACATATTGAAACCTAGAATAAATGGTTATGCGAATATTTGCCAACTACGGATGTATGTATATAAATAAACTTGAATAAATGTTTATCTATTAAGTGTTGGTGTTATTAGTTTCTGCATCATTATTTCCTGGGGTTTTATGTGTTTTTCATTAAACGAATTGTGTAATAAGTAGTTGTAGCTTTTTAAGCAAATTTCGAAATTCATTATATTATCTTTTAAAAAATTCTGCTCCAGTGTAGCAGTGTGTTTGTCTAGAAAGGAATGCCTTTCTCTGATGAAACGAAGTTCAGACCCCTGTTCGCAGAGATATCTGAATTTTGAAGAGGAAAGCAAGAGAAATACTCTCTGTTGGCAAATAGCCCAGTGCCCACACTTCGAAACAACCCGAGCATCGGGCAAACTCTCTTGATCTTGTGAGATTCCCCTGAGAGAATCTGGGTCACACAATGGGATTGCACTGTTGGCTGTTTCCTGTGTCCAACCACAAAAATTGTCGTAGACTGGTACAAGTAGAATACATGCAGAAGCACTGTCCCCGCAGCGGTGGGCGACTCTGGTGGCACGCAGTTGTCGGATTGGCCACAGTCACAGTAGAAGCACAGGCCTATCATTTCCGTTGAGGCAATCAACGGTGAGCGTTAACGCGATGACTAAGCCCTTGTTTAGTTTTAAAGTTTTTCTTCAAACTTTCAACTTTTCCATCACATCAAAACTTTCCTATATACATAAACTTTCAATTTTTCCGTTACATCGTTCTAATTTGAACCAAACTTCCAATTTTGACGTCAACTAAACACACTAAATCGTGTTTCTATGATTCTACCTAATAAAATGTAAATTATTTGTACTTTGTTATTTGGTTCGTTGAAAAATCGAAAGTTGTACTATACTTTATTACAAAGAAATCATAATGCTAAACATAAAAGTACTCATGTAATAGTAACTTCAAAGTTTTACTATCCAAGTTTCAGCAAAATGTGCCTATTCAGATAAATGATATCACAATTCGTCTGGTTGTAGTCATGCCACTCAAATTTTAAAAAATTGGAATCATGTCATCCCTGTCACGTTTTCCATATTCTTCCCCATCTGCACGTGGAACCCACCCGTCATATTCATCTTATTCTTTTCACCCTCCCTTATCTTCTTTCTCCCTATCTCTCCGTCGTGGCGAGGAGCGCGGACAGGATGGGAGGAGCAGCGGGGTACGTGCAGCCAACACCACTACCGAATAGCCTCTGGGCCATCCCGCCAGACACCATCGTCGTGTGGGATGCGTATCGATGCAAGAACTACTCATGCTTGGTGCACGGTGACTAGGTGAGTTCAACCTGTGCGGCCTGGAGAATTGTCGGTGGATACACGATTACAACGAGGTCGAACGACACAGTGCGCATCAAGCTGGACATTGGCGACATGTCCATCACGTTCGCGCACCGCACGCGTGAGCCCTGGGGCGACCATGGCCATGAACTCCAGTCAAGGGCCTTAGTGCGAACGCACCAAGGGCATCGCTGCTCTTTCCGTCCTACCCGCGCTCCTCGCTCCTCGTTGCGACATAGAGATGAGGAAGGAAGAAGTTGAATCAAATGACTATGTCCCATGTGTAGACAAGGAAGAAGATAAAAAAAATGTGACGACCATGGTATGGATCTAATTTTGTAAATTTTAAGTAGCACGGATACGAAATGTAATGGCATTTATCTGAATAGATATATTTGCAATATCACGGATCAAATTAACCCTTTATATTATTCCTTCCGGAAAAAAAATACTACTTGTTACCAAGGAATTAGTGAAAGCAACCCCATTTTGAAACAGTGAACGCGATCGGTCGGCACGCATGAGGACTGGACCAAAACCAGACCGTGCAGATCCCACTGTAGCACAGTGCATCACACATCCCATCCGTGCTACAGAAACCTGCCGGGTCCGTCCGGTCCCCAGCAACAGGTGCAACCATGTAGTACTACCAAATCACCAATGCAGGTGCAGCACCTGTCTCCTCCCCGTAGGCTCTCCCAACCTGGATTTTTCACATTTTGGTCATTTTAAAAAACTTATTTCGCAAATAGACCCCTAAAAAAACTTATCCCAAAAATGGTCCTTTTTGGGGCGCCAGAGTGGCTGGCGCCGTCCCCCTGCCGACGTGGCGGAGCGATGCTGAGGTGGCTAGGGGGAGCGCGTCAAAGTGGCTGGCACCGCCCCAGGGAGGAGGGCGCCAGCATGGCTGGCGCCCCCCCCCCCCCACCCCTCACCTCCATTCTTGTTTCTCTGTATGGAGTTGCAACGGTGTCATTTTTGTTTTATTTTTTCGGATGTATTTTCACACTTAAGATCACGATACAACCAACCACAAAAAAAATTAAACTTGAACTACCACTTAGCTAAGTCTGAAAATAGCTAGCATACCACTTAATTAGTCTACTTTGCACCTTCACTAAAATTAGACCATAACTCTTTTAGTAAAACTCTTTGATCAACATGTTAAACATAGGAGAGATCCTTTAGTAAATTAGACTATATAAAATTACTTAATCTAATTCAAAATATAACCACATGAAATAATAGCCATAAGTTAACCAGTATAGAGAGATGCAATTTTTTTATTTTTATTTCATTTTTTTGATATTTTTTTCATACTTAGGAGAACATAGGAACCAACCATATAAAAAATAAACTCAAACAGACAAATTATGTGACTCGTAGAATTTTCCAAAACTCTACCGAAATGGACAAAATATGTGACTTGTAGAATTTTCCAAAACTCTACCGAAACGGACAAAATATGCCATTTATTGAAATAGGCGTAACTTTCTCATACGGACTCGGAATCAAGCAAATAATATATCCACGGACATTTACAGAAAAAGTTACACCCGATTCTCTTCAGCTTTGCCGGATTCGGCGATATTAAAACCTCCAAATTCCACTTGCAAGATTATGTTTTCGAGGAGAGAAGTATTTCGATAGAGCTTTGAAAAATTTCACAGGCCACATATTTCGTCCGTTTGATTTTATTTTTTATATGGTTGGTTCTTGTGAGTTCCTAAGTGTGAAAAAAATATCAAAAAAATAAAATAAAAATAAAAAAGTTGCACATCTCTCTTCTCTGCACTAGTTCAGAGAGAGGAGAGAAGAGAAAAAATTATACAGGTCACATATTACGTCCATTTGAGTTTTTTTTTATGGTTGGTTCCTATGTGTCCCTAAGCGTGAAAAAAATATCAAAAAAATAAAAGAAAAATAAAAGAAAAATAAAAAATTTTGGGGGGGAGGGGGCACCAGCCACTCTGGCGCGCTCCCCCTAGTCACCTCAGCATCGCCCCGACACGTTGGCAGGGGGACGGCGCCAGCCACTCTGGCGCCCCAAAAGGACCATTTCTGAAATAAGTTTTTTTAGGGATCTATTTGTAAAATAAGTTTTTTAAAAGGACTAAAATGTGAAAAATCCAGCTCTCCCAACCGTAACGTTTACCTCTTCTTCATCAACGCCAAGAGGCATGGTCCAAAGCCTCTCTGCACAGGAACAGCAGCAGCAGCAGCGCGCCGCTGTCCCCGGAAAGAGAGGGACGGCGAGAGATTGGCGAGTAGCAAGTGGCGGAGCCCTCGCCCGGCTAGACCCAGCAGCCGCTTGTTTTTTTTTTAAAACTAAACCGGCAAAAGAACAGCCAATTATATTTTTAATAAGTAGGAGTAAAAACCCTAAATGGGTTACAAGAAAAAAAAAACACCGGCTGGTTGAACAGCTACACAGCACACGCCACAATTCATTAGCAACTGAAACCACTAATGGAACCCAACGTAGAGTTGTCGTTACCAAGCTTGATAAAAACAACATGTAGGGTTTGGACTTTGCAACCGTGTTATCGTTGTCGAGCTTGCCGCCAAAGCGACACAACAGCTCCGACTTTACCAGCAACCGCTTGTTATATTGATAAGTTAATTGATGGTAAAATTTCTATAGCAAATACTAGTTATATTAAAATTTGTTCGGACTCAAAATTCTTTCTGACTCCATCACTGCGAGTAGCGTGGCGGATCCACCCCGCGCGTGACTGCCTCTGTGTTTGTATGTCAGTATGTGTTATCCTTAGCCTTTGGTTGGTTCAGCGAGACGGGCACGCTGGCCTCCTCCTCCGGTTTGCTTGCAAACTTCTATCGTGACACAACACACAGGAACGGCTGCTACTTGACTTTGCTTTGCAGCGATTTTTTTGACTCGTTTTTTAGTACTGTAGTACTCCAGAAAATTTGTCATGGCTGTTGCTCACGGATGAGATGACTCTTCTTATGAAGTTATGATTGATTTTTTTTCTTCTTCACACATATTGAACTGATCTTAGGTATGGTTTAGTTCCTAACTTTTTCTTCAAACTTTCAACTTTTTCATCACATCAGAACTTTCCTACTCACATAAACTTTTAACTTTTCTGTCACATCGTTTCAATTTCAATCAAACTTCTAATTTTATCGTGAACTAAACACACCCTTAAATAAAAGGGAGACTGAAGATATCTGGGGGCAAGGAAAGCTGGTTAAAGGGCGAGAGGTTTGGATAGGAAATTCTTCTTGCTGTCAGTCAGTACGGCAGCATACATACGTCTTCTTTTTCTCTTTCTTTACAAAAAGGAGACGAGGAAAACACTTCAGTACACAAGCATATTGCGTGCCTACGCTTCTCCTACTTTACCCCTCTTTTCCTCGTGTTCTCAGCAAAAGTCTAAATAACACGAGTTTCTTCCTTTCGGCGCACCCGTCTTCTTCCTGTTTTTTTTTTAAAAAAAAAAAGAAAAGAAAAAGAAGAAGAGGAGGAAAATCTGCCGGACCACACGTGGGCTTTAAACAAACAAAAGCGTTGTGCAAATCTAGCCCAGCAATATCCTTCTGGCCCATTACTTCTGAACCAAAACACAGAGGCCAATCTCTGGGCCTCTGAATCTCCGACCAGCCCAACTCCACCACAACAGCAACGCCGCCGAGTCGCCGACGACGCCTTTTGGTGCTCGCGGCGGCCGATGTAACGAGCGGTTTTAGAGAAAGAAACCATGGGCAAGAACACACGACTTCGCCCCGCGCCATCCACCATCTTCTTCTTCGCCGACGTCTCGGCCGGGGCCTTCCCTTCGTCGCTCTCTCTATCTCTCTCTGCTGCTGCACAGAAACAGCTCGTCGTCTGCATGCGTGTCTGGCTCTCTGTGTCGCGTTAACTGCGTGCATCGATATCTGTCACCTGATAACTCAATGCACCTGGCAATGGCCACGCGGCGCCAACTGCTATTACTCCGTCCAGCCTAAAATAACAACTTGTATTCTCTAAAGTTTATTTTAAAATATAACAACTTCTACACTAACATTCTTTTCTCAAACAATCAGGTAATCACAACCCTCTACCATTCAATTTTTTCACATACATCTACTTCTCATCCAAACACAATTCTTTCCTATTTAATTCTAATTACTTTCTTAATAACTGTGTCCAACTTTAAAAATACTTATATTATGGGATAAATGAAATTATTCCATATTTAATTTTAACTACTTTCTTAATAACCGTGTTCAACTTAAAAGTTAATTATATTTTGAGACGAATGGAGCAGAGTAACTTGTACTACCTCTGTTTTTCAATAGATGACACCGTTGACTTTTTCTCACATGTTCGTCTTATTCAAAAAATTTACGTAATTATAATTTATTTTGTTATGAGTTGTTTTATCACTCATAGTAATTTAAGTGTGATTTATATCTTATACATTTGCATAAAATTTTTGAATAAGATAAATAGTCAAATATGTTAAAAAAAGTCAACGGTATCATCTGTTATCAATGAATCTGAACGTGAGAAATTTGTTCTTTATAGGACAGATGTTTCACAAGGCTGGTCCGCTGGTGTGCTCATGATGATCATGCATGCGCAGCAACAGCACAGGTAGCGGGCACGTCTCATGAATGCCGCGAGGAGTACAGCCACTGTTGCTACGTGTACTCTTCTCCTCTACTTTTGTTTTATACTCCAACAACGCAGCACTGGAGTAAATGCGAGGGCACGTCTCAGGAGGATGCATGCTGCTGCGTGTACACTTTGCGCGTGCTACTGCGACAACTACGGTTGCCGGCCGGCCGGCCGGCCACCCGCGGCCGCTACAGGACGCAGGTGAGGGTGGTCCTCATAGCTAGATTGGCCATACATGGCATCACACTCAATTCAACACGGGACAACACTAATTGTTTTTCAGCTAGCGGAAATTTAGGCCCTCTTCGATTCACTGAAAAATTATAAGAATTTCGTTTCTATAGGAATTTTCTTATATGGATTTTAAAATCAGAAGAATGAATATTATGGAATCCTACAGAATATCTCATTCCATACAAGTTTTAAAGTAAATTTAACATGAGGTATAATCTCTAGAAAGCTTTCCGTCGAGTCTTTATGTCTACTCAAATTTATATGTTTTTCATGTGGTTAAATCAGACAAACATTCTTATGTTTTTTTATGTGTTCTACAATCATTTATTTTACACTTGAATTACTGTTAGAATCCTGTGTTTTTTTATATGCTTTTCCATTATTGCGATTCAAAATATGTCATTAAACTATAAAACTCGTTTAGAATTGATGCTGATGTTCTTTTTTGTTATAATTTATTTTTCAGCATTGTTTTTGTAAGTTGTGAGTCGTGACCATAGCAGCTACACTACATGGCATCACACTCAACTGAAACAGGACAAAACTAAAGCAGACGACACTCCAAATACCACCGCCGTTCCTGCATCCATTTTGAACGGACAAATTTCAGGCTGCATCTGCAATTCCGCACCCATCCACTACTCCCTGGAAAAAAGAAAAGAAAACCTTTTCTGCTCTGAAACTCGTGTGAAGCTTCTGTCTTCCAAGCAAAGTGTGAAGCATAGCGATTCGAATTTTTTTGAACCCAAATTCGGTTCAAAAATTAAATATAAATCACAGCAATCAAGGAACAGCACGGATCTCGATGCGCACACTGGACGCCGAGTGAGATACGCTACGCCCTGCGGATGGACGGACGCCTGTACTGTATGTAGTAGTAGAATGGAACCCGACAAGAGCTGCTCTCTCACAACATCGGATACCCACGCGCGGTTTCCGAGGCACACGCCAAAGTACGGTTTTGCCCCCCGCGAATAACTGCACGGGCCTCTGGTTTTTTCCTTACGGAGCGAAGGGTAGAATCGGGAACAGAAAAATATTTGTTGCGCTCCGGGGCGAAACGAGGCGACGACTCGCCGATTACGTGCGCGTGGGACCCACCCAAAAGGCTCACAGCGCTCTCGCAACATTTGCAGATGACACCCTGAAAAATTCTCCTAATCCCCTCCATGTTCAACCTTACGCTTTTTTAGTACGGGGAGGTGAATGTGATGAAGTGCAGGGGGTGATTTGTAAATGCTGCCGGGGTCAAATCCGGCACTGGCCCGATTTCTTCCGGTCCCGACCCCGCATTTCAAATTTCCTCCTCCGCCTCCTCCTCCTCGTCTCCGGCCACCGTTAAATACCTCGCCGCCGACCACCACCACCGCGGCGGCCCTGACCCCACCCTGCGAGCCCTAGCCATGGACGGCGACGACGAGGATATGCGCGACGTCTCGTCCACGTCGTCCTCCTCCTGCGGCGGAGGGGAGGGCGCGGGGTTCGAGGAGGGGATGGGGGAGGGGGTGATGGTGATGGAGGTGAGGTGGTTCGAGGTGGACCTGGAGTACGAGTTCGACGCGCCCAGGTGGTTCGACCTCGCCGTGGAGGAGTCGCCGGTGGAGGCGGCGGCGGCGCAGCTGTGGTTCGCCTCCGCGCCCAGCTACCCGCCCTCTCGTGCGTGCCCATCCATCCCTACACCTCTTAATTTATTGTGATGTTTTTCTGCATGGCGGGGATGATTCGGGAAGGGGGGTTGGGTCCTTGGGGATGGGATTTAGTTCGATCGATCGATTCGCGGTTGAAATCGTCGATTTAGTATGTGCGCCATTGGTGGGATTTCTATTATGCAGTGTGTTCTCCCTTGCATTATTGATCCGAGAAAGGAGGTTTGGGAGTCCCTAATTTCGAAGTGCTTCTAGGGGCAGCATGCACATGAATTTTCTGAAATACTCCCAACATTTTCAGACCAGCATGATTCAATAGAGTGTGAAATGGTTGAGTGTCATCAATTCGGGTCAGCATTGATCACTTAGATGGATGAGGGATGCATTTAACAGAGATTTTCCTGTTTCTAATTGTGTAATTTGGCCTCGATGTTAAAGTTTGATTGTCAACCGCAATGAGTCCATTTTCCTGATAATAAATGAAGAAGAAAAAGCTATGCTGTTCTCAAGGAAAACTGATGTTCTTGAGATGTTAATGGTAGAGAAGGCACCCACAGGTATCCAGGCCCATAGCAAAAAGGAATGTATGATGTAGCAAGGCAATGGCCATTGGCCTTTTAGGTTTCTTTCATGAGCATCCACAACTAAGAGACATCTTGGAACATGTGACTGCAACAAACAGACTTTGGTTAGTTGCAACTAATTTGGTGTATTCACCCTAAAACTTTGACAACTAATGCTAGATATAAATTGTAAGCTGGTAGAGTTATGTTTGTTAGTATATACTTTCCTGGTATTTCTGGTCTTCTGGAATTGATTAAATTTACATGTGTTACAAACCCAAAATGATATGGGAGGTGAAAGTGAAATATCATCCTTGGTTGTATGCATCAATTTTTGGACAAAACTACGATGGATAGTTCATTGTTTTACTACTCAAGCCTTTTCTATTATCATTAATATGTAAGTACAAATATTTTTTTGGTTATTTCTGTAGTTTTAATGTTTAGCTCATGACAAAGATAGAACTATCATATTACATGACAGGGAAACTTATGGTTACAACACTAGCAAGGTAGCATAAAAAACAGTAACAAGAAGTGAATAAAATATGTACTACTACTATAATGACACTTGTTTGATTATTTGACCTGTATGAATTATGGAAACGTTAGATGTTATTTTTACAGTTTAACTCGCTATTGAACTGTCATTACATTCATTTTTCCTTTTTAATTGGTTATTGCCCTTTGTTGTCAACTTAATATGACTGAAATTTTCTCTGTTGTTTCTGCAGCCTTAATTGCCAAGATGTTGGCTGAAGATCTTGGGTTGCAAAGTTTAAGAAGCACTGTGGATATAGATGCAGCACATTGCTCTAAATCCTCTCATGAATGTTCCAATGGTGCTGAACAAACGATCCATCGGCCACATATACCAAATGAAGGTCCCTATAAGCCCAAAGTTTTCTCCATTATGTTTTTTCCTATTGCATTTCTTACCATATTTGAGCATTTCATTTAGCCTGTTATGCTTTGATCTTTTACCCAGCTTCTTTTATGTAAAATAGGAAGGATACCTTGCCATCAAGTTTCAGCGAACGAGCGAAAACATGGCGTTCGAACTATTGGAAAAGGAACTATCCCAAAGAGGTCTACACTGATGAAGCCTACAGCCAGTCAATTAGCCAGGCAAAACAGACAAATTGAAGTGAAGAACTCCACACAGTATGTAAATGTTATGCCTTATGCTAATTCATATTCTTTAGCTGTCCTAGGGTTGGTACATACAAAATTTGGAGTATTATTCTCTGTTGGATGATTTTATAACAATTTTCTGATTTTGAAGAGATGCATTTACCCTGCCATACTTGCAGTTCCATGAACATGTGTTTCTTGTTGGTTTACTCACCTGCCATTCTTGATGAATTAACCATCCACTAGCATTGATCTTAACCGTTTATGTCAGTATATGCTTGTGTAGCCATCACGTTTTTCTCTTTCACTTCATTATTTCCGGACTTTCACCACCTTTCCTTTTGTTTTAGATTTGCACTGCAAGGATTTTTCAATACATTTAAAGCAAATGCTGTCTTCATGTTTCTGAACTTATGTACCAATTTGCTTTACTATCAGGAGTAAAAAGTCGGTTGGGGTGAGAAGTGATAGAAGTACCATGAGCTCCAATGACTGCACCTACCAAGCTGCTAAAAGGCAGAGACTAGAAAGAGGGCATCTCAACAAGGTATTTTGCTGTTTTTTATTTTCTGGGGGGTATGACCACCCCAAATTATCTGGTGAAGTTGTTTCTTAACTGTAAAACACAGTGAAGTTTGTCGGTACAGTTTTAACTTGAAATACCACATAATTTTGGTAGGGCATTTACCTTTAGTTTTGAGATTGCATACTAGAAACTAGATTATATTTGTCTGGATTAATCGAGAATACTTAATTGACTACAGTCATGGTTCTCATGGCAACTGACAATGGCAGCTAATTTTTTCTGTTAGCATCGCCAAAGTAATAGCCACAAAACCATTTATACTGTTTTTTCACTACAGAGTGATCAGTGCCTATTTGATATTGATTTGTTGCATAACTAGTCACTGAAGCTTCTTTACTTATTGCACAGGTTGTTTCAACTAATCAACCTGAGTTGATCCATAAGAATCATGCAAAGGTCAAGACACCTCAAACATTTACTTCTCTCTCATTTCCTAGGAATATTTCAGCTGTTCCATTTCAATTCTATAGAAAAAATTAGAAAATTATTTGGACTTTTTATACTATAGTTTTTCTTAAAGTGCTTGACATACTCCTGCAACTAGCCAATCATAGCTGTTATACTATGCATTAACAATTAGGGATGCAAGCGGGCCGACCCGCAAGTTCACTTATAGGTCAAATAAATGATAATTCATGGGTTTTCGCGTCGTGGTCCGGTTTGCCGCATCTAGATATGCAAGTGGATCGATCCATAAATCCATTTATAGGTCAAATTAATAGGTAACCCGCTGGTCAAACCCGCGGGTTACGTACTAATTTTGCCTATAAGCGGGTTCGCGGACAAGCCCACTTGCACCCCTATTAACAATCTCTAATATAGAATATACCTTTTATGATACAAAACATGCTCATCGTGCAAGTTTATACATGATTTCTCTGAGGCTGTGCCTCAAATTTTGCTTGACGATGCTTTCTCATGGTTGACACAGAATGTTATGACTAGTAGCTCTGATCATGCCATTGCTGTACCAAAATTGAAGATTACAATTCCCAGAGAACCTGAATTGGCAACAAAGCTAAGAGCAGAGAGGTCAAGGATACTCAGAGCAGTGTAAAGTCATTTTCTCTCGCTCTCCTGTTTGCCTGAATGTCAAGTACTTCTAGGCAGCTCATGTCCTTTTCTTGAAATTTCAGGCCAACTAATTCAAAGCAGCTAAACAAACAGGCGGCACAATCCATTTCTATGACACAAGCGTCATCGATTAGAAAGGTGGATTACATTACTGTTGGGTTTTTGCAGCTTGTTCTGGTTGTCTTCACTAACTATTAAAAAATAAAGTAGGTTACTCACACTTACATACATGAGCGAGCCCTGCCAGACAATATGTATGACTCATTCTATGGTTTTCAATTTTTGGAGGATGGCAATACTCAGTTTGTTTGATAGAGTTCCCTAATCTCAAAGAATTTTAGAAGACGGTGGCACCTGTGAGGCCACAGAAATATTCATAGCAGAGATGTACATGTCAAGATCTCAAGAGAATGTTGCTTTTTTAATGTATAATAGCACAGCGTCTTGGTGGCTGATAGTGTAACTGTAACTGTGACAGTTCAGAAATGGTTTCATTTATGTTTTGTCCAAAGAAACAAATAATTTGTAGAAATATTTAGAAAAAAAACATTCAGTTCAATCAGTGAAAGTCATACACATAGTTTTTAAATCATCTTTTCCAATTTATTATGTGCCCTTGTACACTATTCTGGATCTAATTGCATGGTTGAAGCTGTTCTGTTTACTGCTATTTTCTGCCCTCAAAGTTGAATCATTGTCCTGTACTAGGACAGGCACCTCTACATTTAGATGGTTAACTTTTAATTTGCACTATATAATCTTTATTCTCTGTGAATAGGTTGAAACGACTTATCATATACACACTATCCATGCCTACTAAAAACTTGGTTCTCTGGCAGGTTGTGCAACCTTCTGGGCGCAATGATCATCAGCATGCAAGTGTTCCACATCGCGGTATTGGGTCAAATGTGCCAGTGTGTACTGCTAATCGTCCAAGGCATCTTGACAAGTAAGGCTTGTTTTTTATATACCTCCTCACTTCTAGTCCCATTACTATTTACATAATATCCATCCTATTCGGCAGTACAAAGGAAAGTAAAATATACCTCCTACTATTCTCTTGTAAGTATTTCCTGTAATTTTCTAGTTTTGGTCAGGACAGGTTTCTTCATGGAACCAAATAATGCAATAGTAAAGACTGTTATGCTTTTGATTCTACCCAGTACCTATGATTTTCCCAAGGCAGTGAAACTTCAGAATGATGTGATCTTCTGTAAATAGAGCTGAACTTGTGGCTATTTTCTGTGCTCTGTTAACAGCATTTGCAAAACGCCGGATGAGTGCAGAGATGACCTGTTTAAATTTAAAGCTCGACCAGTGGATAAAAAGGTTGGTGCTGTGGATGGATCTTCTATGCTTGCTTTGAATCTTTTAGTTCATACTGCTCTGGACCTGTTTATCTTTGAAGTTTGAACCCTAGTTTCCAATGGCCTGGATAGCGCCTAGTTGTATTGATTGATATACCTGTTGCAATTTCATGTTCTGGGTGTCAGTGGCCCTACTTTTATAATACAGATAGGAATTAATTGCTGAATATGCAGTTGCTTAAGAAACAACCCTACAGACAGAATATAGGAAAGTTCTAGTTTCACATATTTGATTAACTGCAAATGCAGCCATTGAATCTTACATTTTCTTTGCCTTGGAACAGATACTAGGAAGCAAAGGAGATATTGGTGTATTTCAAAATGCCAAAAGGAGCACAACAGTTCCTAAGGTTCTCTCTTTCTCTGTGTGTGTGTGTGTTGTGGTTTGTTATAAATTCCTCACTCATATTTCTTGCTTGAAAATCCTAGGAATTTAAGTTGTCAACTGGTAGGAAGGGTAAGCAGGCTCCATTATCTGAACTCTTCAACAAGGTACGTACTGATAGAACAGAAACTGATTGCCCTTACTCCTTAGATTATTTGCTCTGATGTTTACTCGTATTATTTTTGAAGCTCACTTTAACTACTGAAGCACGCCGTGCTTTAGATCACCGGACTGCTGATCTTCCAAATTATATTACCACCAAGGTTCTTTCCTTGTTTCAATTTAGCTTGTTTTTACTCCCTTGCGCCTTTAAACAAAGTAACTAAAATATCACTCCTAATCTAATGCAAGGACTGCAAAGAGAACATGATTGGTAACATGCAAAGCTAGCTATGGTAGGTAAGTAATATTTCACTGCCATACGGGGCATTTATCATGTCGCTTCTCAAGTTAGAAACAAGTGCATCACACCCTTCCACATTTTACCATTTTTCAGATCCAGTCAGTCAAGACATACAAAACATAGGAATTCTTCTCTTTGACAATTCCTGGTTCAGATTCCTTTTCTCCACCTGAACAAAGGTAAACGTTAACTCCTAATATTTCAGGTTTCATGATTCGCAATTTCGCACAGTGCATCATGTCATTTCACACCCTGGCAACTTTCCATTATTTTTCAGCAATACATTTGGGTATTTTCATGACACTGATACTTGGGGTGAACTACTGCATTGACATTGCTCTCTACTACCATGTAGGCTAAGCGTCTGTTTTGGACAGTAGGATCTCGACTTCATTTGAGTTTTGACAAAGATGGAGCGATACATTATTTTGACTTGAAGGCACCGACCAAGGCACCGTCCCGGCCATCCCCGGCAACCTCCCGTCTCCGCTGCCGTGCAGCTGAACATAATTCCGTACCTGCTCGCGGCCATGGCGGAGATCGATTTGTACAGAGAAACTAACCATGACGCCGGTGTGTACTCCAGATCTGTAACTTGTTGCCAATCATCATCCAGCAAAGTTGCTTGCTTGCTTCTCTCTCCTTGCATCGTTCAAATTACTGGGAAAACAATGTTAGCCAGGAACCATGGAGATATAGTCACAGAGATACTAACTCCATGGGACCCGTAGCTCTGAATTCTGATGCTGGTCGGGCAAAGACGGGCATACAGGCTTGTCCAACCAGAAAAATACTGTGGCATGGTCAGGGTGAGCACCTGATGGCTGATGACCTGACCTGACCTACATAGAGTAGATGCCATGGCAGTGGTGTCACGGTGTACGTGTGAGCCAAACTGTACATGTCAAACAAGTGTAGCCATCATACTGGAGTAGCATGGGATCAGAACGGCTCAGGCATCTCATCTCAACAAAAGTTAGCTGCTGCTGCTGCTGTTGCTGTGGCTGCGTGTTGGCACGTCGCGTCGACCGGGGCCAGGCCGGCTAAAGCATGGAAGGGACATTTGCTCGCAGATCTGCCATTGACTAGCAGACGATGATGCACGGAATGGTCAGGACGCCCTGGCCGTGGAGGACACTAGGACGGCTTGCGTTTTGACGCCCCAATAGGAGTTCACAGTCCAGTCCAGTTTCTGCTAGAACCTGTGACAGATTCAACATCATTTGACGAAAACCAATCAAAAACCACGGAATTTCGAGGTTCCAACGCAGGACGAAAGTAGATTCCGGGTGAAATGTCGAATGGTTTTTGAGAATTCAAATTTGAAATGGTTAAATTCAAATGAAATTTATTCAAAATTTGCAGAAAAATGCAATCTCGTTGGGGGCTGGGATCCAGCACTCAATCCAAAAGGTGAACCCTAGTCCTAGCCGAGAAGATTGCTACTGCTAGGAAGGGTTAACGTCTCGACGAATTTCTAACATCTTTTGAGCTGGCTCGAAATGTGCATATCGAATGGTTTTGTTCAAAATTTTCTGAAATTCATTCAAAATTAATGGAAAATTGATGTCTTGAAGGGGCTCGGGAATTCGCTAGCCAATCAAGATCATAAACCCTTAGCCTAGGAAACAAGTAAAAGGACAAGGAATTGGATTACTGTTCTTTCAATGCAAAAGTTAACAGTGACATGCCTAGGAGTGGATACAGGCAGCAGCTATGAATATCATTCAACAGTAAGAGCAGCCAGCCAGCTACACTCCATGTCTGATGAACAGACACAGCAACGAGCCAACGAAGCAGGACATAAATACTAGGCATGGAGATTCAGAGTTTCAGAGGCAGCAGCAGCAGCAGCAGCAGCAGCAAACAGACGTACACTAACAGCACAGCAAGAGTGAGGCAGAGCAACTAATAAATACCGTCAAAAAAAGGGCATTTACATTAGCACAATCCTGTCGATGCAGGAATGCATGGTTTCAATTCAATGCGGCGTCGTCACACACCCCAGGATCCAAGAACTGATGGCCTCCCTCTGCCTCTCTGATCAAAATATATTACATCATAAAGACGGCGACTTCATGGCGCTCACGAGACATCTCTGAACCTGACACTGATCTACTCACTCTCTCTTGAATACCATGAACAACACTAGTATGTCACTGCAAATTCCTAGGGACAATCTTTGGGCAATCCTAGATCAACACCAAGAAGAAGAAAGAGTCAAGAACAATGGCATTAACATCATCATCATGGTCATCTAACTTCAGATCCTACATCTAGCTACTATTTCCTGCACTGTGCTACTATCCTTTTAGCATCTTGGGGAGGAGAAAATTTTGGAGGTTTGGAGAAGATCACATTGTGTGCTTGGATATGACCTCGCCGAACCTGACGAACCACTGCTCGTCGGAGGAGCTGTTGTCGCCGATGTCGGTCACGTCGTGCCCTCGCATGTCGGCCGCCGTCGTCGTCGACGCCAGCAACCGGGAGTAGTCCACCGTCTTGGGCGTTGTCATGGCGGAGGCCGGCAGCAGGGAGAGCAGCACCCTTGCAACCTCGTGCATGGTCGGCCGGTCTGAAGGGTGCCTCTTGGTGCACAGAAGGGCGAGCTGGAAGGCCTTCCTGACCAGTCCCATGTCCGTGCACGTCACTGACACCTCCGAGTCCACTGCCTCCATGACTGTGTTGTCATCAGCTTTGGAGAGTATCTGAACATTGACACAAGATCTTGTCATACAAATCATCCATTGGATCATGCTAGAAAAGTTCTAGAATTGGTGATAATTTTGCACAATGTGATGAGAGGATGGAGTGGAACTGTGGAAGTGGGGTGGCTTACCAATTGATGCAAGTTCGATTCGTTGTCGACGGCCTTCTTCCCTGTGAGCAATTCCAGAAGGACGATGCCGAAGCTGTACACATCAGATTTCTCATTGAGCCTGGAAGTCCTGGCATACTCCGGATCAATGTAGCCGATGGTTCCTAGCACATAAGTGGAGGCATGGGACTTGGCAGAGGGGACACATTTGGCTATGCCGAAATCTGAGAGGTGCGCTTCGAAGTTCTCGTCGAGCAGGATGTTGGAGGACTTGACATCTCTGTGGATTATGCGAGGGTTGCAGTCATGGTGGAGATAGGCCAGCCCTTGTGCAGCTCCGACCGCGATCCTCAGTCTTGTGTCCCAGTTGAGCTTCACTTTCTTTGATGGACCTGAAAAGGATCATATATAGATCATAAGGGAGATGCATAATGATAACAAATTATCCATGAGCCAAAGGTTTCAAGCCCTAACCGTGGAGAAGATCCCACAAGGAACCATTTTCCATGTAATCATAGAAGAGCAAGTTTCCATGTGGAGATAGCGAGAAGCCATGGAGGCTAACAAGATTCCTGTGCCGTATGCTGCCAATTGTCTCTAGTTCTGTTTCAAACTCTCGGAGGCTATGGTTATACTGACTGTAAAGCCGCTTGACAGCAATGGCCTTGCCGCTCTTGAGTTCACATTTGTAGACAGTGCTTGAGGCGCCATAGCCAATGATGTATTTCTCGCTCAAATTCTCTGTCAGCCTCATGATGTCCTCGTAAGTATGGATAGCCATGTCCATCTGGAGAACAACTAGCTTTGGAGGTCCTGAATATGATTAAGAAAAGGTTAAGATGAATTCCATTATGCCAGCATACTTGCTGTTAATTTCATCGACGACAACTGGAGGGGTGAGATATAGCGCACACATACCTTGCACTGGCTTATCGGATCCTTTGACAAGTGGCTGTGGTTGATTTGTTTTATATATAGCCAACAGCAGAACGCAGAGCAATATGATAAAGCCTAAGATAATGCAAGCAATTGCTGTCTTTGAAATATTAACTGCAATAGAAATTAAGTGAACATGTGTTTAGCAGAAAAGCAAATGGAGTGAAAAGCTACAAGGGGTTAGCTTCTTGTCTGATACCTCTTTGTCCATGAGAGTGTCCACAGCTGGAATCTTGGCAGTAAACATGCAGTAATGGATTACCCAAGAAGCTGCATTTATGATTTATGTACTGGTTGCAATCAGAAATTAGAAGATGCTAATAGAAGGATAACAGAGATTGTGCATGGTGCCATCTTATACCTTTCCATTGGGAATTTCGAGAAGTTCTTTGCCATCGGGACATGTCCAGATAAATTGTTGTATGACAAATTCCTGAAATGCACTTAAGGATAAATAATCCTGCCCAAGTTATCACCAGTATACAATGCTACAGAGCAGAGCTTGCACACAAAACTTACAGGTTATTTAAGCTGAAGCAGTTGGCCAATTGAGCAGGGATCTCCCCAACCAAATTGTTGTTGTTAAGAATCCTGCATGATAACACCATAGCTCAGTAAAATATTTAGGTGATTTTCGATCTCACACGCATAATATGAATTTATGATGATATACAACTCACAGGCTATCAAGGTTTTGAAGTTGTCCAAGTTCCTCGGGCAGACTACCAGATAAGTTGTTGTTGGACATATCACTGAGAATTTAAATTTTGGTTCAGCTGAATCATGATGATAGGATGGCTTCAAACAGATAATAGTTAGTTACATGTGTTTCAAGGGAACACACTTACATTACTTGGACGCTTCTCAAGTTTCCAAACTCAGCAGGAACTGGCCCATCAAGATGGTTCTTACTCAAATTCCTGCAGTCAAAGCATAACCATTTAGGCATCAAGTAATAATGGCCATATGAAATAAGTTATGGTTTTTTCATTAAAAACAGTATGGTTTCTAGGAGGTTGGTCCGCAACATACAGTTCAAGAAGGTGCTCTAGATCACCAATGGTAGCAGGAACTGGTCCAGAGAATTCATTGTAGGAAAGATCCCTGTTCAAAAAATAATAATAAAGGAACATCATTTAGCGCCCACAGGTCTTGTAACACCAGGTAAATAATTATAGCTAAAGTTTCTACTTACAATGTGTCCAAGTTGATGATGTGACCAAGCTCAGAAGGAATATTGCCTTTGAAATTGTTTGAAGATAGGTTCCTGTATTTTTTAAATGTATTTTTAAGCAAGAAAAACATTAGGTGAAATACAATAATTTCGCCGAGTGAATTAAATGATTACTGTAAGCATAATGCAACAGATACAATTACTCACAAGTAAGTCAGACTCTCCAACTTCTGGAAACCAGCAGGAATAGAACCATTTAGCTTATTGCCATAAACATTGCTGAGAGGCAAAAAAAAAACATGTTTAATCATGTGGAGTAAAAAATGCCCTGTTAACTTATAAGTTGACTTAGTACCGGCTAACTTACAATTTGTTTAGAGCAGTGCAAGAACTGATGTTTGCAGGAATAGGACCTTGAAGATTGTTGTTGGCAAGATTTCTGCATGCAAAATTTGGTCAACAATTGCACAGAATAAAATAAAGCATACTACGTAACTCATAGACATGATAAAATTTCTTACAGTTCAAAAAGCTCTTCAAGTTTGCCAAGCTCTGCTGGAATTGTGCCCACCAATTCATTATCATTCAGTTGTCTGCATGGAAAAATTTCTGAACATCTTATAGTGTTCCACACCAACTGGAGCACAACAATATCTGCATACCATATAATCACTTACAGGTAGCTAAGTTTACTCATGTTCCCAAGCTCCGGCGGTATGACTCCAGTAAGTTTGTTCCCATGTAAATATCTGAAGGAAAAGGTGACAGTAGGTGTTAGAGAAGAGAAGAAAGCAATCTCAGTGAAAAAGAAAGTCTGACTGATGATACTAACAGTTTTCCAGTATAGGATAGATTGCCCAGTATAGAAGGAATGGGCCCTACCAGCTCGTTCTCACTCAGGTCTCTGAGAATAAAAAAAATGAATATAAGAATTCATTATCCAATATTACAGAAACTACTGAATTTCAGTCAAAAAAATATTACAGAAACTACTAAAACCTATGGATTGAAATGTCGTGCTCTACTCACAGAACAG